GGGGGGGTTTGGAAATCATTACGGAGGGGGGAAATGAATTTATGACAGACGGGCTTATGAAGGTAAAGAGAAATACCAAGACGGGCATATAAAAATGAGGCCATTTATGAATGTAGAGCAAAATATCACGTTATGACTTAATGCTATTTCATCAAGTATCTCGCACCAGACAAAAAAAAGCCTTGGATTCATAACATGACGGTCTGTCTTGACCATCTCTACCAGCAGCCCAGACGCCGTCGAGTTGATCGGTTCCTGATGTGCAAAGGGTAAAGTGATGGGTTCCTCGCCCGGACGATCAGGCTACCTCACCACCACCGCCCACTCTGCCGTTATGGTGGTGGTGTAATGGCGTTGTGATGCTGGTTATGCAGACATGCCCACCACAAAAAAGATGGCAGTCCCACAGGTTCAAGGTGTTGAAATTATTAATGTCATGAGCTTTTCCGTTTGTTATTCCTATCTTATTCCTATTGTTATTTCTCTAGCAACCTTTTTTGATGTTGGGTGGGGCTGCCATCTATTTTTGTGGTGGGCGTGGGGGGGATTTGGCCCAAGCTTGCCAACAAGGCCATAGTTGCTTTCAATGTCCTCGCAACTCTCCGCCATGGACAAGTGCTATCGGACATCAGGGGTGATGAATCCAACACAACCTGACAAACTTGAAGCTCCGGGCCAAATCCGTATTGTTAACAGAGGCAAATCGGCTCGTTCGAGGCTAGTCGTTACTTACCATCTCGGCGGAACTAGTATTGAGCATCACGTTACCGATTCCCTGGGCGGATTGCTAGAAAGGGCACGATATGGCGCGGCGTGCGTGAAATACACGAGTGGATGGGGAGATTCGGGAAATAACTTTTTAACTTGTAACGGCTGTATGCAAACGCAACCGAATAAAAGGAAATATCCGGTAGCCAACATTGTAGCTAACCCAAATGTGAAGCGTGATACAACGTACCAGAAGACGAGAGAAACGGCGAGAAAGCCGGAAAGACAACACACCCATATGTAGCATCCAGGACGCACACCATCTACATCACGTCCCCATCCCCATCCCCATCCCCCATCCCTCTCAACTCCTAGCGCCAAACACCACATCCCTCAGCTTATCCCTCTCCCCGCTCTCCTCGCACATGGCCCTAAACACGCCCTCCTGCACCCCCTTGTCCCACAGCTCGCGCGGGGTGCCAAACTCCGCGACGGCGCCGTCGCTCAGGACCAGGATGCGGTCAAAGTCGGCAATGGTGCTGAGGCGGTGCGCGATGACGACGAGGGAGGCGTCGGTGAACTCCTCGCGGATGCTGCGCTGGATGAGCGCGTCCGTGTGCATGTCGACGGCCGACGTGGCCTCGTCGAGCACCATGACGCGGGGTCGGGACACGATGGCGCGCGCGAGGCAGAGGAGCTGCCGCTGCCCTTGCGAGAGGTTCAGGCCGCCCTCGGACACGGGCGAGTCGAGGTTGTCGAACATGTTGGTGTTTTTGGCGTTGCTGTTGTTGCTGCCCGTGGTTGATGACGAGGATGACGCGGCCGCGGCCGCGGTTGACTGCTCCGGGTGGCTCGGAGCCGTGGGCGAGGTCTGGCCCGAGCCATCGGTCGAGACGAGGTGGACGCGGTGCAGGCTGTCGCGGAGCTCGGCGTCGGTGTGGTTGCTGAACGGGTCGAGGTTGGACCTGACGGTTCCGGAAAAGAGTACGGGGTCCTGCTTTGATGTTAGGGTCACGAAGCTCCCATGTTAGGAGAACGAGAAGAAAGAAAGAGAAAAAAAAGAACTCACCTGAGGGATGATGGCCAGGCGAGACCGCAAGTCGTGCAGCCGGATCTTGGAAATGTCAAGGCCGTCAATGTGCACGCTCCCGGAGCGGGCCTCGAGGAAGCGGAACAGGGCCAGGGTGAGGGACGACTTGCCGGCGCCCGTGCGGCCGACGACGCCGACGCGCTGGCCGCCCTCGACGGCGAAGCTGAGCCCCTTGAGCACGGGCGGCAGGTCCGGGGCGTAGCCGACGACCAGGTCCTCGACCTCGATGCGGCCCTTTGTCGGCCAGGCGGCGGGCGCGCGCTCGCCCTCCTGGGTCTCGGTCGGCAGCTCGGCGTACTCGACGATGCGCTCGACGGCGTTCATGTTGAGCTCGACGTTTGCGTAGAGGCGGATGGTCCACATGACCGAGTTTGCAAACTCGAGCGAAAAGGCGAGGGCGAAGCCGGCCTTGGACGAGTCGATGCCGGGCGTCAGCAGCACCAGCACGGCCACGAAGACGGCGTAGAGCGAGCCTACGAGGGCCATGCGCCAGCCCATCCAGCGGTTGAAGAGCCAGAGGTGCCAGGTGGCGGCCGAGTAGTCGTCGATGCGCCGGTACATGCGCTCGATGTAGACCTGGGCCTTGTCGAAGCCGCGGATGGTGGCCACGCCCGTGAGCGCAGACGAGAACTGCTCGAACACGGGCGACTTGGTGTTGCTCTCGAGCCGCTTGACGGGGCGCGCGCCGCTCAAGTAGCGGAGCGCGTAGTGGCCGCACACGACGAGCAGCGCGAGCGCGAACAAGACGACGAGCGGCGACACGAAGACGCCCGCGACGATGACGACCCACAGGCCCAGGAACGAGTTGGCCCCGAAGCTGACCGAGTTGGCCAGGTTGGAGTCGATGATGTTGAAGTCGGACGTGAAGCGGTTGAGCACGCGCCCGACCGGCACCGTGTCGAGCCAGCGCAGCGGCGCGTGAAGGATGGCAAAGTTCATCTTGCGGAAGAGCAGCTTGCTTGCCCTGATGGAGCCGAGGTAGATGTAGAAGAACTTGAAGGTGCCGATGACCGACGTCGACAGCGCGAGCGCCACGTAGATGCCGAGGTAGTAGTTGAGGCTGTGGCCTGCCCCGTCGTCGGGCGAGGGCGAGGCACCAGCGGGAGTGACAAACGAGACGGGTTGCGCAAAGGCCAAGTGCTGCGAGTGCACGCCGTAGCCGTACGCCGGCGACGACGACGCCGCCCCCACGTGGCCGTAGCCCGAGAGGCCGAGCCCGGAAAAGGTGCCGCCGCTGCTGCTCATGTTGGCGCCGGACCCCATGGCCCGGTCACTGTCGGCGCCCGTCCAGACCTTGAGCCACCACGAGCGACCGAGGTTCAGCGACTGGTTGGCAACAAAGATGGCCATGGCCAGGGCCCAGAAGACGAGGCCGCCGCTATCGCGCAGGTACGTGGCGTAGATCTGGCGGCGGACCGCGCCCTTCTCGCGACCCTCCTCCTCGACAAACTTGCGGGCCACCGCCTTGGACGTGACGCGCTTGAGGGTGTTGCCGTCGACGTGCTCCTCGTCCTCGCCCCCACCGTCGTCCGAGTTGACGGCCGTGGTGACGGCGGTACGACTCTCCGTCTCGGGCTCGTCCGCCGCTCCCTGTTCGTGGCTCTTGATCTGCGCCAGCGTCCCGTCCTCCTGCAGCTCCGACACGAGGCCCGAGTTCAGCACGCGGCCCTCGCCGAGCTCGACCAGGAACTTGGTCCTGGGCTCGCACAGGCCGACGTGATGCGTCACCAGGATGCGCGTGCGGCCCGCAGCCAGCTCGCCCGTCAGGCACTTCTCGAAGATGTGGCGGCCCACGTGCGCGTCGACGGCGCTGAAGATGTCGTCCATGACCAGGATCCCGGCCCGGCTGTACATGGCCCGCGCCAGCGTGACGCGCCACTTCTGCCCGCCGCTGAGGTTGATGCCGTTGGCGCCGATCTCGGTGTTCTCGCCGTCCGACAGCATCTCGAGGTCCTTCTTGAGCGCGCACACCTCGACCGTGGTCCGGTAGCGGTCCTCGTCCAACGGAAGCCCGAACAGGATGTTGTCGCGGATGCTCGCGTTCTCGATCCACGGGATCTGCGCCACGTACGCGATCGAGTTGGGGATGATCCAGTCGGCCTTGGTCGCCTTCTTGTCGTGGCGCTCGTGCAGCGGCGGCGCCCGGGGCAGGTACAGGTCGCCGGCCAGCAGGTCGACCTCTCCCAGGATGGCCGCCAGCATCAGGCTCTTGCCGGTGCCGGTCTTGCCCGAGATGACAGACAGCTCGCCGCGCGGGAAGGTGAGGCTAACGTCGCGCAGCACGAAGCGCTCGTCCTCACCCAGCTTCTCGTCCGAAGGCCACGCGATCGATGCCCGGTCCAGCGTGATGTCGTCCGACTGCTTGGCATCGCTCTTGATGTCGGGGCTGTTGAGGTACTCTTCGATACGGTTGATCGAGACCCAGGCGTCCAGGAGATCCGTCGTCAGCTCGGGGACGACCGAGAGCGTCATCTCTAGTGCCTTGAACACGCCAATAGACACAAAGGCAACCGAGGGCGTTAGCTCGCCGTTGAAGTAGGCGTATGCTGCCAGAGCCACGGCCGACAACATGACGGGGCTCGTGACCCAGCAGCCGATCAGGACCGTGTCGGCCAGGAACACCTTCCAGACGGCCTTGAGCTCGCGGGACCGCACGCCCTCCACCTTCTTCTCCCACTGCGGCTCCAGGGCCGAGAACTTGATCTGCCGGATACCCTGCAGCGCCTCGGTCACGACCTCCATCTTCTCGTCGCGCACTTTCATCAACCGGTCTTGGGCTGCGGCGTACTTCTTGGACGACGCGATGTTCAGGGGCAGGATGGCGATCATGGTGGAGAAGCCGGCCAGGAGTGGCTTCCATCCGATCAGGCTCAGCAGAAAAGCCAGCGACACGATGAGCTTGAACAGACTGCCGGGAAACAGGTTCTGGAATGCCGCAAAGTCGCTGACGCGCTTGGCGTCAACGCCGATGAGGTTGACAGTGCTCTGCTTGCTCTTTTTTAGGGCCTCCTCCTCGTCATCGTCCTCCTTGGGCCCCTCGGCAGGTGCACCTGCCGCATCAGTAGCACTGTCGTCCTTCTTGCCCGACTTGCCGTCTCCCTTGACATCCTTCCTGCGCATGGCCTTCTCAAAGATCAGGGAGGAGAGCTGGGCGCGGATGGGGACGGTGAGCTCGGCCCAGGAGAGCCAGAAGACGTACGACTCGACCCAGTTCTGAGCGACGATGGCAGCGCCGAGCCAAAAGACCCAAACCCAGGTGTCGAGCCCGTAGCTCTGGCCGGGCTCACGACTCTCGAGAGTGCGGAGCAGCTGCAGAATGACCCACTGGGGCGCAAAGTTGAGGACCGACGTCACAAAGGTCAGCACCCACTGCACGATGAAGCCGCGCGCGTGGGCGCGGGCGACGGACACCCAGAGGCGGTAGGTGTAGCCGCGGCTCTTCCAGTCGGCCGAGACCTCCCTGGCGCGCGTGTACTGGTTGGGGCGGCCGAGGTCGATCATGTCCAGATTGTTCTTGCGGGTGGCCAGCGTCAGCACATTCGAGGGCCAACTGAAGTTGTAACGGCTGAAGGCAGACACGGTGAACATGCGGTCGACGACGCGGCCCTCGGCATCGTAGACGTCGGGCCGGCGCGGGATCGAGGTGCTGGCGATGGCGAGGGCCAGAGCGGCCGCGAGCTCGACGGCACGGAAGGCGAAGATGGCCGGCTCGTGGCGGACCAGGTACTCGGCGACGCCGGTAGCCTGGACGACGAGGCTGGCGGCCAGGATGATGCACGACAGGAACGAGTAGATTCCGAGGTCGTAGGCCTGCACCGAGTTCCTGGTGGAGGCGATGCCGATGCCCTGGACCAGCAGAAGGCCCCAGGCGGCAACATCGAGCCAGTTTTCAACGGCGAGGCCGTGTGCGCTGCTCAGACCCCTGGTCACGAGGATGGCGACAGTGAGGGAGGTTGCGAGGCCGATGCTGTCGAAAAAGAGGATGAGGAACTTGGACAACTTGTTGGAGTACCCCTGGACGGCCTCGGGAGTGCTCTTGCCGTCACCATCCTCGTACGAATCCTGGGGCTTTTCCCGCTTGCCAAGTCGGAGCAGCACGCGTGAGACGGCCGGGACGGAGCTCAGGCCGATGAGTGCCAAGCCCGTGGCGACACCCGCTAGCATGGGGGCATCTCGCATGGCCGCAAGCAGAGGCTTGCCTCGAGGAGCGGGCGCGATTGTCTTGGCCGCAGGCTGGAGACAAGCAAATCCACGGTCGTTCGTGGGAGTTTTTTCTTTTTCTTCTTTTTTCTTTTGTTTTTCGAACCCAAAAATTCTGTATTTTTCCCCCTGCCTTTTGGTTGGCTGCGCGGTTCTAGCCCGTCCTCTCTTATACCCTTGATGGACCCTCCGGATCTCGGCTCGGGGTTTAGTCCTGCTTTCAAATCAAGGAATCCCAAATCTGACCTTGCGGTCTGGCGAGGCAGCCTGGCCCAAAAAGATGTGGTATCGCCTGTGGCCTTGCACTGGAGTCGAGGGGAAAACAGAAGAAGAAAAAATGATAACAAGACCTGAAAAGGGAGACTCCGAGGAAAATTTGAAGGGACGGGGCTGGAGAGATAGATAAATGCTAGAGGCTGGACTCCTCGGCTCCCGAGCTTACGGTATTGGGATGTTATTTCCGCAGCCAACACCCCCGGCGTACTCTTCAGAATTCCACGTTTCTTGTCGAGTCGCCTCCTCCCGGCGTCACCTTGCGACGGGGGCGTCAGATCCAAACCCCCCGCTTGGGAACCGCGTTGACTCATGCGGCGAAAAGAGAGGTGAATGAAATGGATGTCATGGAAATTGCCGGGGCCTGGCGTCGCCTCGACACGACCCTCCCTGCAGCCACCGGCCAGCCTTTTCTCAGTTAACCTCAACCCACATCTCGCCTGCATGGTTCCATTGCAGCATCTAGCGATGGCCTTGCGCAGCAGCCGCCGAAAGGGGGGATTGAGGTGCAGCAGCCATCGCGTCGGGCGGAAAAGCTTCAGCAGGGCCAGCAGCGCTGACCACCTCCCACCTGGCAATCTCCAGCCTGGACCTACAGACTGGTTATTTCTATGCTCAACCCCACTTCGCTTCACCCGGGGGCGGTGCAGGCGGTGGGAACGGGTGGGACAACGGCGCCGGGGAGCTGGTATATGGCCCCCTAACCTTGACGGTTCGGGCTGGTATGTGTCTTGTCTTTTGCGTCGCGCACTCACCATTTCCATGCGGCAGCGGTGTGTGGTTCATGTGGTTTGTGGGTGTGGGTGCGTGTGGGCGGTGACAGCCACCAAGGGCTCGGGGCGTGTGCGTATGCATGCATTGGGCAGGTGCGACTGTGTAATGTGGCTCACATAGGCATAGGTACGCTTTGCAGAACCTTACAGGCACCTGGGCTGCAGTGGGCTGCCACATCGGTCCGCGAGCGAGCCCTCTCGGACTTTTGGCTCGCCTCGCAGGGTTGGTCCAGGTCGGCATCGAGAGCAAAATTCCACGGCCAGATGCAGAGCCAAGCGCGATTATCACGCAGTTTCTCACTAGATTGGCATTGAGGATAGCTTCCAATGCTGGGCCCTGTTGTGGCAGTCCCGCTGGGGAACCCCAGCTCCCGCCGCTTGGGATTGAGGTGCTGCCAACCAACACGGTCGGCGAGCGGGTCCCGTCTTGGTACGAGGGCGGTGGTGCGGCACGGATCCGAGGATCAATGGAAGTCGAGCAGACGCGCGCCTGGCATCACCCAGCCCGGAAACAAGCTCTGGGCCTGATAACGAACGGATCCGTCACACACCCCCCACCCGCCGTCGCCCACATGCCCGGCCCTGATAGAGTACCCGGCCCTGATAGAGTACCCGGCCCCGATAGGGGGGTAGGTGCCTTGCCTAAACTACCCTCCTACCGTACCTACCTATCAGGGTTAGGCACACGGAGTAATCAACCCCCCGACACCGTTGCCCAAGCGGCCGACACCAGACGCCCACCAGGGTCGGTGCCTGGTGTCCGGCCATGGCTGCAACACGGCCCAGGCTGCCGATGCCTGCACCTGAGGCAGTCCGTCTCGGGATGGCCCCGAGAGCCACTCCCGCAAACGAAACACTGCGCGTGCCTGGGACAATATCCTTCATACATAACCTGCGGTGCAGCCTGGCCTCGTCTTGCCGTCCGTGTCAGCACTTGACACATCCACCGCGCGCGTGCCCACGGTACACCGCTTGGCCCCCCCTCGCCGCCGCCCATTCCCGGCAGCTGCGGGTGTTCTCCGCGGATTCCCGAATCGGCAAGTCATTGAGTCCTGTGCACCTAGCATCGACCATCGACGGCCAAGACAGGGGACATCGCCCACAAAAATGCCGAGCCTCTGGGCCCAAACGACCTTGGATCTCTCGCCTCGGTTGGTATCCCTGCCTACCTGATAGACACGACCAGACCAGAGCCAAACAGATGGGTCAAAGTGAACCAAGGCATAATGGGCGCAGATATAGGTAGATACAGGCAGATATGTCTGCACCTTCAGGTTAGACGCTTTGTGCTTGCAGCAGCTAGCGTTGGCTGGCGCCTGAGGCACTGAGGCACTGGGGCACATGTAGGTTCTGACTGGTCACTGCGGGCCGTCTGACCACCTCCTATTTGCAATGTCGTAGCGGGCTACCTTGTCGTACCAGCCGCTCTCTCTGAGGCTCTTGGCTCTTGCAGATATTCCATCGTGATATGACCGCATATCGGATATCAATCAGACATCAACCGCTTGGGTTGCAGCAACGTCCTGCCTGCGCCTCTGCCCGCACCACTGCTCCTTGGTCACACTTCCCATGTCGTCCGGGGGCCGTCAGATCAAACCTGTCAGGCGGGTTGGCGTGTGCTCGGCGCCGTGATTGGCTGCCCGCCCTGTTCCGCAGAGTCAATCTCGTTTTTGCTTCTGTTAGTTTAGAGTAGGCGAAACGCTGGCTGGGATAACGGCGGGCGGTGTGCTTGCCACCACCTCTCTTGCTTCTGGCTTCTGCCAGCAGATGGGAAACAATGGGACCGCCCCCGATCTGATCGAGGGACGGGATTTGAGAGGTGAGAGGTGAGAGGGGCTAAACCTTGTCGCCAACTGAGGCATGTTGGCGGCCACGGAAATGAAATCCGTTGCCAACTGCGGTCTTTTCTGTTTGCCTCCAATTGACTGCCAGACAACGGCAAGGCCTGCTTCTCCACTCGGATGAGCCGGCAGCTGCCGATACGGCAGTGCGGGTAGCCCTACGCTGGTGCACACGCTGTCCTTCATTGATCCATTCGCTTTGTTGCCATGTGTGTGTCCATCACGATTGCTTGCAGCTGCATTCCACTGCGGGCAGACAACCCCCGACTGAGACGGCCCAGAAGAAGCTCCATCCCTCGCCAGACCCCACCGACACAGGCACAACAGGGCCGTCCCCACTCAACACCTCAGCAGCACCTCCGCCTGCCAACCGCTGGACCAATCGCGCCGCCAGGATCCTCGTGCCGCACAAGGCAGCACCAAGTAAGCTTCAGAAGCAGGAGCGCCTTCAGAAGCAGCACCTGCAAGTGTCGCCTTGTTTTGGGCTTCTCCCTTGCACCTGCCGGCACGGATTGATTGATTGCACCCAGCCGAGCTGGCCCAGCTGACCGGGCACTTCTGACTTCTGCCGCCTTCTATTTACCCCGTGTTGAGGAAAAAGGTACAATCGTCAATCATCCCATTCATTGTCCACCAATTACCTCCGTCTCCATCTCAATCCGCCGTCGCCATCATCAGTCAAGGACCGACCCGCATCCGAAGCTCAGCTCAGCTCAGCTTACCTACCACCTACCGTCGGGACGTCTCTACGGAGCCAATCACCTCGACCTGCTCGGCTCTCCAGCCTGCCCTACCCGCACTCGACCTACCCCGTACCCGCGCCCTCGACAGCGACAAGGACGACGACGACGGCCTCTACCACTCCTCCCCAGCTCCGCAGCCTGCCTCCCGCCGCCTTTGGTCCGTCAATGCAAACACACCTCCGCATGGTCACAACCGTCCGCACCCGCATAGCCCGTCCTCGCTCCAGGTGCCACGATGAAGAGCACGCCATTGATCATCAACTGGCATGACCAGACCGCCCCCATATACTCTGCCCATTTCGAGCCCACCGGCAAGGGCCGCCTGGCCACCTCGGGAGGTGACAACAATGTCAGGGTATGTGCTACTAGTTTCTACTACCTCCCGCATACCGCACAGGGGCTATGTCGGCCAAGCCTAGGTTGCCAACACATGCTGATGTTTCCACGTCCTGCCCGAGCAGATATGGAAAGTAGAGGCGGACGACGAGAACCGCAAGGTCGAATATCTCTCCACCCTCGCCAAACACACACAGGCAGTCAACGTCGTCCGCTGGGCTCCCAAAGGCGAGCTCCTGGCCTCGGCCGGCGACGACGGGAACATCATCCTCTGGGTTCCCGCCGAGAACCATCTGCCCTCCAACTTTGGCTCCGAGGGCCTCGAGGACAAGGAAACATGGCGCGCCAAGCACATGTGCCGCTCGTCCGGCGCCGAGATCTACGACCTGGCATGGTCGCCCGATAGCTCTCACTTCATCGTCGGGAGCATGGACAATATCGCTAGGATCTACAGTGCTGCTACTGGTAAGATGCCTTCTACCCGCGCATGCAACGAGTCTACCGGGCCCCATGTCTTTAGGACCGCTGCTAAAACTACGATTGCGCAGGTGGCCTTGTCCGCCAAATCGCCGAACATAGTCACTACGTCCAGGGTGTGACGTGGGATCCTCTCAATGAGTTCATCGCGACCCAGTCGTCAGATCGCTCCGTCCATATCTACTCTCTCAAGACCAAGGACGGCCAGTATACGCTGAGTAGCCACGACGACAAGCCTCCCAAGGTGGCCAGCCACATGAAGACAGACCTCCCTCCCCGCAGAATATCATCCAACAGCCCAGCGCCGCCCGAGTTTGGCCACCGAGCTCAGCTTGCCGCGCTCAACGACTTTGCTACCCCCGCCGCCATCGGTTCGCCTGCGCCGTCGGCACCGGGCACACCCACATCCATGGCTCTGCCCATGAACCCACCGAGCGTTGTCAGCCATAGCCGCAGGTCGTCTTTCTCTTCGAGGAGATCCGTATCTCCGGCGCCTTCCATGCCCCTCCCGGCTGTGATGCCCATGGAACCCTCCCCCAAGCCGCACCCGCCCAGCACCAGCCTGGGCATGAGGAACGCCAGTCTCTACCACAACGAGACGCTAACATCCTTCTTCAGGAGGCTTACTTTCACTCCCGATGGCAGCCTCCTGCTGACGCCCGCGGGTCAGTATCAGACCCAATACCAGGTTGAGGGTTCCAAGCCATCGTACGAGGTTATCAACACGGTCTACATCTACTCGCGCGGAGGGATAAACCGACCACCCATCGCCCACCTGCCCGGCCACAAAAAGCCATCAGTGGCTGTCAGGTGCTCTCCCGTATTTTACACGCTGAGACAGTCTCCTCCAGTCACAAAACACATCACGATCGACACTTCGTCGGCCGAGGAGCCGATCCCGTCGCTCCCAGAGCCCATCTCCAAACCATCACCAGCACCTTCCTCTGTTATGGAACCACCTCCCCCACCCGTGGTGAGCGAGCCGTCAAACACTACGCCATCCAAGTCGCACAATATGGAGACGGCCCCGACAGCCACTGCCACCCCGGCGGCGGCACCTGGCCCCAAGTCCACTTTTGCTCTACCCTACAGGATGATCTATGCCGTCGCCACCCAGGACTCGGTTCTGCTGTACGACACGCAGCAGCAGACTCCCCTCTGTATTGTCAGCAACCTGCATTGCGCGACATTCACCGACTTGGCCTGGTAGGTTTCCCTCATCTTTTACTCACTTGCTACTTTCGCCGAGCTTCTTCCAAAACGCGCCCAGGTCGCTAGGAGGGCTCAAGCCAACTGATACTAACTCGATACCCGCAAAACAGGTCGAGAGACGGGCTCACCCTCCTCATCTCGTCGTCTGACGGCTTCTGTTCTACACTATCATTCTCACCCAACGAACTGGGCCATGTTTACACTGGTGATGTTTCGCTCAGGCAGGGGGCACCGGCTCCATCGAGCCAGACGACGCCGACATCGGTGTTTGCGCCGCCCTCGCCTTTCCCCAACAGCGGCTCGCAGCCGTCTCACCACCACAGGAACTCGTCAAGCTCATTTGCGGCTCCATCGCCACCGGCAGTGACGACGGCATCGTTTGTTTCAACGACGGGCATACCCATGGTTGTGCGACCATCTTCGCCAGCCAGGTCCAACTCGACGTCATCGGTGGTGACGCAGGCTTCCTCGAGTGTCATGAACAATCCAACCCTCATCGGAGGGAGCGTGCCGAGCATCGCGGCGACAAATTCGGGCAAAGTCACAGGAGTTCCGATGACGACGCCTCCCGAGACTCCGGCAAGCACCGCCGTCGGCAGCAATACCGCCTCCGGAAGCAGCGGTATGAAGCGGGACATGAGCGAGAGCGACAAGGAAGGCAGCAGCAGCAAGGAGCCCAAGAAGAGAAGGATAGCTCCAACCCCGATCAGCGGAGATGCCAACGGGCAGCCATGAGCGACCTAGGGCAGTTGCTAATTTCACATTGTACGGCCTTGAGACGAATATCAAAGATGAATGGGAATTCGTGGCGTTTTGTTTGGTGCAGTGGCGTTGCTGTTGCCTTGCTAGCGGTCGAGAGCGATGGCGTACTGTCGACCTGGTGGCTCTCTTGGAGGCAGGTATTTTCGCCTCTTTTTTTTTCACTATTTTGCTTGCTTGTTGGTCATCAGGGCACAGGGTCCGAATCATGACAAATCAATCTTGTTTTTTTTTATTCTTGTCTTCATCTCGTGTCCCTTACCTTTACGGTTCGTTTCGGGTTTTCGATGGGTGAGAGACAGATTTATCCGACTGGCTTGATTGCGACTTTGAGGCTTCTTTAGCACAATCTGAACTAAGTGGACACTCATATGTATTTGTTGTCTCTACGGCTGTTGCGGTCCCACTCGCCTAGAAAGATACGAACAGCTCAAGATAAAAGAATAGCAAAATAACCAAGGCAGAGAATTCCCCAAGGGCTGCCTGGCACCCACCTGAGTGCTAGTTGATTCTCGCATGTTTCCGTACTAGGCGATTGTGACGGCAAATTCGCTTCGGTGCTTCCGGAAATGGGCACTTTTTTTGGTAACATTTGAAGACTCGGAAACCACTTTGGACTCAGACAACGAACGCATCTTGATCAGACGCATCATAGGTGCCCATACAATCCCACACAGGACTGGCAAAATGTGCAAGACTCAAAATATCTCCGCACCAGTGGTGCAGACCGAGAGCGCAGGCGGAACCGAGCCCGGCAGCTTGTTGGTGACGGGGCAGGGTGTCGAACGGTGGGAAAGGCCCATCGGCAAACTCGATTTCGGGGACACATGGCCCCCTCGTCCAGGCCTAGGATCGCATCCTGCGGCTTTCGGTGTTTGCTGAAAGAAAGAAAAAGCTTGCTGAACATGGGACATTGACGGCATGGACATCGTCCCATCAGCTTGACAGAAACGTAACACATGCGCCAGTGGCAGGGGAGTGGTATGGCAGCTCCCGGTATCCGCCCGCGGCAGCTAGGGAGGCACTGTGGACGCGCGTCGCCATGTGGGCTGCTTGCTCGCCGGGACAAGGAAGTACTAGAAGTAGTAGCGAAGGCGCTTCTAGAGATGGCTGGCCTGTTGGTCCTTAAAAGACAGGTTGTAAAACAATATCCTCCGAGGCAAGGGCTGATGGAGAACCAACTGCTGGCCTTCGCCTGGTTTGGCTTACAGGCCGCCTGATGTCCAACAGGCTCATCTCTGGATGCGAAGGGTGCGCAGATCTCTTCCCACATCTATAAATAGGCGATTCTGTATCCAACGCTGTCCGGCCCCTCCTCTAGTTCTCCCTTGCAAGTTCCTTTTTTGGGTAAAGAAGATCCCCTCCAACTGAAAAGCTGTAGGAGCCGGATCACTAATGACTTGTTAGATGGACCTGCTTTCCAAACACAACACAGACGAACATGCCCTCGGACCGATGCAGCTTTGCCGCAGCGCCAAAGTCAGCTATTTATGAACCATCTGTGCTACCATTGCTGTACCTATCTGCCTACATCCCAGTGGAATTCTATGAGAATGCTGCTGCCCATGGCTCCTAGTTGGAATATCTACATAACGAGCTCCCATGGGCGGCGAGTTTAGCGATCCAAAGTCGAGACGTTATCAACTCTCCTCTGAAGATGCGAGGCAATACAGAGGACCACCACCCTCATCACCACCAGCCTCTACAACAGTCATGGAGAAGGTCCAGACCAACCTCGACGCGCTGGAGCGCAAGCTGGGCAAGGCCAATAAGATCGCGGCCAAGGGTGACAAGATGAGGATGGGCGACGCCGTCAAGCTGGCCCGCAAGTCCCAGTCCATGTCGTCCACCATGGACAAGGCTGTCAAGGAATACGACGTGGGTGTTTTATGACCAACCAATCCCCCCTTTGGTGGCGTGCTCGGGAACATTCCAGCCCGGACTAATATGGGCTGTCACAACGGTTTTTCTTTGGGCACCGATCCCACCCCTGTGCAGAGCAGGCGCATGATGGCGCAGATGACGCACATCGTCGCGCTGTCCGAGGAGCAGGTCGACCACCTCATCGGCTGCCAGGGCTATCTCAAGGACAAGCTGCACGTCGGCGGTTGGTTTTTTTTTTCCCCTCTTTTAATCACTCTCTTGTTATATCTCACGACGTGAAAAAAAAGGAAGGGGAGAGTAAAAAAAAGGGGGGGCGCTGACGGACCGTTTTCGTCCTCGAACCAGGTCTCGCCAAGCGCAACCTTCAAAAGTCGGCCTAGTCCAGCGAGGCCCTCTCCCGCATGATGCTGTCCAAGGTGCCCCTGGAGATGCGGGAGGTGGGCGAGGCGGTGGCCAGGCGGAGGAACCTGGCGTTCGAGCGGGCGCTGGCAGCTTATGGGAATGCCATGGGGGGCGACGACCTCGCCGACGGCGCCGAGGACTCGGACTGATTATTTCTTGGCCGAGGTGTGTTGACATTATACAGGTCCCAAGGATCATAAACGTTAGTGCGGTGGATCCTTCCCGATTCAAAAAATCCCGCCAAATAAATGTATCGCTACCCGCACCTCCATTAGTGGGTCTATGGCAAACTGTGGCAAATGGAGGCGCGGGTAGCGATACATTGATTTGGCGGAATTTTTTATGGTGAAAAATGTAACTGAGTACTGGCTGAATCAGGAAGGATCCACCGCACTAAAGTTTGTGATCCTTGGGACCGTAGACGACAAAGATATTGAAATTCAGAAGAGCGTGTCCCTCTTTGGTCTCCCCCCTGTCTTGACGTAGCCATTGTGGAGAAGGGATGCGTCATCGTGGGAGCACAGGTCAATTCCCCTACCACCCACCCCGTTGCCCGAGCACACATGTTAGCTAGCACCTTCGGCGGCACGAGCCGTCATGCAACGGCTGAGGTGGCTGGTGCAGACCCAAATTTGCACACGAGGGGGATTCTTCATAATTTTTTCTTTGTTTCTGCTGGGAACATTCGTCCGTTCTCTCTACCTACTCGTACGAGGACCGCATGCCCTTGTCGGCCACCTTCTGCATGAACTTGAGCTCCTCCGCCATGGCCGTGGTGTCCGCGGAGATGGGCATGCGCGGCGGGTAGAGGGCCTCGAGCTTGACGTCGCGCACGTCGATGTCGCCCTCGGCGATCTTTTGCACCTCGATCACGTCGCCGTTGCCGCGGACCTCGAGCGTCAGCGCGTCCATCATGACGGCCACCACCTCTTCCGCCGTCAGCGCCGGGTCGTCCTTGCCCAGCCGGTCCTTGCAGTGGTCCTGATCGAACAGCGGGGTCTGAGGGGGATGGGTTGTGGTGTGTGTGTGTGTGTTGTGTTAGTGGAACATTAGTCTGCTTCTCCATAGTCTACTCCTCCAGGGATCTCTCACGTACCCGGACGGCAGCCGGGCAAATGGCCGAGCTCCGCACGCCGATGAGCTGCTTCAGCCCCTGCAGCGACTTGACGACGCTGAGGACGGCGGCCTTTGACGAGAAGTACAGCGGCGTCTGGATCGAGTGGAGGTAGGCGCCGGCGCTGACGACCCAGAGGATGGCGCCCTTTACCTCGCGGTTCTGTGTCCAGTAGTCGAGCGCCATTTGGGCCAGCCGGATGGGCGCCATAGTGTTGACGGCAAACGTCTTCCAGATGCCGCCGTCGGCCGCGTCCTCGGCCAGGGGCGAGACGCCCGGCGGGTTCCAAAACGCCGACGTCGGCGGCTCGTAGATCCCCGCCCCGTTGACCAGGATGTCGATCCGGCCGAACTTTGCGAGCGTCTCGTCCCACAGCGCCGTCAGCTGCGCCCAGTCGGCCACGTCGGTCTGCCGGAACGCGGCCGAGGCGCCACTCGTGCCGGCCGGCGCGGGGTGCGGGTACTTGGCCACCGTGGCCTCGGCCTCGGGCCGCAGCTTCAGGTCGGCGAACATGACGGAGCAGCCGGCCTCGAGGAGGCGCTGCGCCATGACGTGGTTGATGCCTGCTCTAGTCAGGGGCGCAGTAAAACGGCCAGTATGTCAACATTGATAATCTGTCACACGTGGGACCGCGGGAGAGCAACGTTCGCAAAAGGCGGGGAATTCCAGCCGCCATAAGCAATCTATGTAAGTAGCAGGGTAGGGTTTCATTTTTCGCTGCTTACCGGACCCCGCCCCTGTCACCAAGGCGATCTTGCCCTTCACGTCGTAGTCAGTCATGACTTTTTGCAGTCTGTCTATTCCGCGGAAACAGGACGGGTGGGGGGCCGAGAGTGAGACTTGGCGATTATTCAGCCGGTAGTGTGTTTGAAAAGGAAGAAGGCCAGGCAGAGAAACAAAATCAAGAAAACAAGATCGAGGGGGGCTATACAAAAGGCGCTGGCCTCGAGCTCAAATACACCCTTGGACCACGGAGATATGATTTAATACCCCGCGACCTCTACGTGGCTAACAGCACCTCATTGTGGGTTCAACATCAACAGCCAACGTCGGGATCCGCACCTTGTCGGATGAGGGGGTGGTCTACCACCGCTTGGCTTATGGGATGATGCCCGACCCTGGCCCAACTGTGGGTTGCGGTACGGCGCGGGTGAGCCCCCCTGTTCGGGGATGGGGGCCATGTAGACCTTGTCGATATGTTTCTAGCCTTTTCTCTTACTCGTAATTCTCACTTTGGGCCAATAACCGGCTCTCACCACGTGGCGCGCTCGTCTGGCTGCGCTGAGGCAAGGCCAGCCGACTAGCAGCTGTCGAGTCCTATCTGATCCGCGGCCGGGTGGGTACCGTCTGCGAGGGAAACAAAGAGGAAAACCCACCTACCAACAAGGGGTTTGAGACAGGAGGAAGCCCACAACAACCGGCGGTATGTAATTTTTTCAATTTTCACGGCCAAATAGCCCGGTTGACCCTACCTACCGTTGCCACTTGTACTACTGTTTTCTCCGTTTCCCTACTTTATCGTGACAGAAATTCACGCCAAAACGGCCAACACAGGGCCGAACTGGGGTCATGTACTGGTTCTATCTATTTTGCAGTAAAAAGACATAGCCGGGGTAGCCCCTGCTGAGTCAAGAGCCCCTGCTAGTATGTGGGTTTTTTCTTTGTTTCCCTCGCAGATAGTAGCCTCTGGCAGGGGTACTGCAAATGTGTTTCCCCACCTAAACTCTACCTCTCCCAACACAATTGCACCAGCACCAAAACCGAACAATATGCCCGCGCACCACTCTACACCGAAAAGAATACGCGTTCAAGGGATTTGTGATTATCTTGATGCAAAAGGCACTACTTATAGCCACAATGACGTTTTTCGCTTTGCCGGATCATAGATGCAGAGGGCAAAATGGCTGCAGATTGAATGGGCTACTTTTTTTGTGGTGTGGGGAATAAATTTTGCAGTCCGGCTTTCTTTCCGGGCATCGTGCCACCCACCCAGCAGCCGACATGACACACGCAGCGCACATTAGCACGGGGGCCGCTGGATGCCGGCCGGCACAGTTCCCAGGGATCACAAACTGTACGGTAGATCTTGGTGGTACATCAGTTTGGCTTGGTTTTCTAAGGAAGAAAATGTATCTTGCATCCACCGCACTAGGGTTTGTGATCCCTGGGACCTGTAGGTAGGTGGTGGGTGGGCTCCTGCTCATCAGCCCACCCCCAATTTCGTTTTTTTTTTGATCCTTCACTGTTGCCTCCTTTCGCCATACCTGGGGTTGACTCAGCCCCTAATGTTGGGTAAAGGAGGACCGGCGCGACTTGATACTCCGTACCCTCTTGGCCCAGGTAGGTGTGGAATAAAATATGCCTTGGGGACAAGGTCCTCCCCGGCGTGCCATGCTCTTGCTCTCGAGCTGTCCCGCGTCTCCTTCGCTCGATTCGTCTTGCTCCTAGCTCCGTCCGAGGGAAATAGGGTGCGTACGATAGGCTTTTCTAGAGTGGTCGTATATTTTACTTTGTCCGCAGCGAGCACCAACACCTAGTCACGACATCGCTCTCGGAGCCGAACCCGGAACTGAGTCAGCACAGGGAGGCGGCCCGTCCCGTCGACTAGCCTCTGGCGGTCGCAGAACCCCTTCTTCGTCCAATGTTTCGCACCAACGGCGAAGGCGACGATGCCTGGAACACGATCGAGCCCGAAGGCCTGGCCATGGCGCTGATTGTCAGCAGCGGGCTCTTCGCCGGCCTCACCACAATCATCATGGCCATGCGCGTCTACATAAGGGTGGTCAAGCGGAATTTCGGGACGGACGACTGGATGATGGTTGGCGGATATGTGAGTTCTCCATGCGCTGGGCTCCTCCGTCCTTTGGCAAGACGGGGAAGAGACTGACAAAGGATCGAGATGCTGGTCTAGTTCGCAACTCTTGGTCAGGACATCATCACCATCTACGGGGCGTATTGGGGCCTGGGGACGCGTGACGCCCACCTGCTGAGGCTGAACCAGATGCACGGGAAAATGGTACGTGATGGATATCCGCGCGACCCTGGGAGGGAATGGGGTGTAGAAAACAGAACCTGGAGTAGGATACGGATTCAGGGGACGCTAACACAACCAAAATAACAATAGTCGCTCCTCATATGGCAGTTATTGTACGCCCTCAGCCTGTCCCTCGTCAAGGGCAGCATCTGCGTGACGCTGATGCGCATCGCCACGGCGCCCAAGTACATGATGATCCTCAAGTCGCTCGTCGTCTTCTCCTTCACGCTCAGCGGCGTCGGCGCCATCGTGCTCTTCATCCAGTGCCGCCCGCTCAAGTCGTACTGGGACGAGCGGGTCCCGGGGACCTGCATCCCGCCCGTGTTCCTGACGGTGTTGTCGGTGGCGGCGTCGGTGGTCAACGTCCTGACCGACTTCACCGTCGCCCTGATACCTTTTTTCCTGCTGCGAGACGTGCAGATGCGGCCGCGCGTCAAGTTTTACATCCGGGCCATCCTGGCCATGGGACTCTTGTACGTTGTTTGTCTCTGAGAAATCTCTCCTTCCGCCCAACAGCTGACACGGGGTTACTCGCAGGGCCGGTGTCGCCAGTATAGTCCGCGTCCCGTTTACCAACGCGTACTCGAACCCAAACGACCTTCTTTGTAAGTCAGACCTTGAAACAACGAAAGTCTTCCAAGCAGATGCACGCACACACTCTCTCCACTGGTCATAACTAACTGAGACACGCAAAAACACCAGACAACACTGGCAACATCGTCCTCTGGACCATCATCGAGTGCGGCCTCGGCGTCACCGCCGGCTCGCTCCCGACGCTGCGGGCCTTCTTCAAGAAGCTGGCCAAGAACTACAGCTCGGGCGGCGACAAGTGGGCGGGCGGCAGCGGGCCCGGCGGCGGTCGGCAGGGGAGCCGCGGCCTCGTCACCATCGGGCAGATCAAGGGCCGTCACAACCCCGTCTACGACACGGAGCTGCAGGTCACCGTCGTCGCCATGGACGACCTCGGCCACCGCCGGGGCGCCGCCGACGACGCCAAGGATGGAGGAGGAGACAGCGGCGGCGACGACTCGGAGAGCACCCGTCGCATCATCAGGGTCACCAAGGACGTGCGCCAGACCGTCGAGCCGGACGCGGAGGCGTCCAAGGGTACAAAGTCGCCTGTATGATGGGGAATGGGATCAGGCGTTGAACCGTGAGATGGGAGAGAGACAACAGTACAGTCTTCCCGCGTACAAAGAGCTGCAGCACTTGGAATACTCGTTACAGGACACGATTTTAGAACGGCATGCGCCATATATGAGTTTAGAGACATTTACATGGAATATAGATACCTCGAAACGACCCCTGCGGAAGTGGTCGTCAATTCTTGGTGTGCCGGACACCTCGATCGTCGCGTGGCGCTGCAGCACTTGGATATCCCAATCTCGGCTACGAGCAACTCCTGCACGTCAATTCCGTGAGTGACAATGCAGCCGTTCTCCTAGCGCCGCCAGGCCCATGCTATTCACATACATATTTGTATATACATCCCCTCCCCTAGTCGTACCAGATGGCGTTCATGCCAAAGCCGGGCTCGGGGATGCGCAGACGGGCGACGCGGGCCAGGAACTCGCCCTCCCAGCGGAACATCTCGACCCAGCCCTGCTCGTCGTCCGTCATGGCGACCCACTCGTCGGACCAGGGGCAGGGCCGGACGGCGTTGCTGTGGCCGCCGCTGGTCGGGGTCGGGTTGAGGCACAGCTGGGCCTCGATGTTGCCCTGGTCGCCCAGCCGGAAGGCGGCCATGTATCCGGTGAGGCCAAAGTCGTTGGAGCGCGCGCTGGCAAACAGGTAGCGGCCCGAGGCCGAGACCTCGCACACGTCGGAGCGGTACAGGCCCTTGCCCGTGGCCGGGTCGCGGCGGGGCATGCCCGGCGGCACGAGCGGGAAGGAGCGGTGGGTGAAGACGGGCATGGCGGTGGCCGGGTCGACGACGTATTCGCAGACGCGGTTGCCGGCCTCCATGAGCGCGTACAGGTAGCGGCCCGACGGGTGCATGGCCACCCAGCGCGGGTGGTCGCCCGGGTCCGGGGCCTCGACGGAGCCGACGAGCTCGAGCGTGGCCGGGTTCGCGGACCCAGGGTTGTGGCGGCGGTGGACCCAGAGGCGGTTGGCGCTCAGGTCGGCCGAGTAGAGGAAGGTCTCGGTGGGCGGGTCAAAGACCATGCCGTGGATGCCCGTCTCGCCCACCAGGTAGGGGTAATTCTGCACGTTCTCGGCCAGCCGGCCCGTCTCGGTCACGCTGAAGACGTTGCCGTAGCCGGCGTGCGGCTTGTAGAAGGGGTTGCAGTAGACGGCGTAGGGCGGCTTGGTGGCCGGGAGCAGGAAGATGGCCCGCGTGTTAGTGTCGGGCGAATTTGCCTTTGCTGTTCGGGGTGTTAGTCTGTTGTTTGCTATTTGAGGGGCTATCCAGGCAACGCACCATCTCCGCCCATGGGATGCGAGACCTCATGCACAATCTCGGTCGGGCTCTTGACTGCAAAGCTGGACCACTTCTTCATGGCGGCGCCGTATATGTTTTTCCTGGCATGCTATGCAGCCCAGCGTTTTTGTTAGCATCATGTCCTGGTGTTACAAAACAAAAAAAGAGGCCAGCCATCATGACACGTACATCGAAATTCATCCATGATATTGGTTCGTCGTGCGGAATCTCGGTCTTCTTGACCAGCTTGAGCTCGAGCTTCTCGTCGTCAAACTGCACCGTGAAGATGGCGCCAGGAGGCGTCCAAGTGCCAATCATCAAGTGGTGGAGGGGCATTTTGCCGCGCGGGGAGCTGTGCCTTGCCGAGCTGGGCTGAGAGAGGTGAGCTTTTGCTGGGGCGCAGCTGCCGAGCTGCCGTTTCGTCAGGCCGGCCAACAGTAGGCTGGGCTTCGCAATACAGCCTCTGCGGGCAAACGACATAAAAAATGAAAAGGGGTAAAGTCGTACGATGGCAGAGTTTCGCCAGTCAGCCAGTCGGCCTCGGGTTTATCTTGCAACCGCGCAGGCAGGGAGCTGTCTTCTTTTGATGCTGGGGTACGTGGCAAAAGTCACAGCAGGGAAGCTTGCGCGGGATCTCGCAGCGGCATACAGCCCAGCTTTCAGGGGTGGCCGGCAGCAATTGGCAATTGGGGTCGGGCAACATGGCTAGTAGCGATTGGATTCTCTGGTAGTGGCATCGATATAGCTGGACCAATTGAGGCATCAATTCAAGCTAGTTTGGGTACACATTTGATCGCTTACAGCCATCGAAATGGCAGTGCCTGCGATAGGACCTGAGGAAACCGCCCGACGCTAATTGGCAGCTAATTCCGCTCGTTACCAGCGCCCTGTGCTGGGGGTTTTGTCTTTTGTCCCTTCAGCTGACTCGCCTCAACCCAACGGCAACTGCAGCTGGAGTCGAGGCGCCATGGGCTAAATATTCCCCCGCGGCACGTGGCCCCGGCTGCTCTAATTCCCCGTACTATGGCCTGGCACGCACTGGCACTGGCGCGGCTAGCCATTGGATCGTCCTCAACGGCGCGCGGGGTAAATGGGAAACGGGAAATGGGAAGTGCTGCAGTCGCAACCTTCTGGGTCTGACGCTGCCGTGACGGTCGGCCAGCCTCAACCGGGCCTATCACGTCGTGCGCATTTCCCAGCATTGGTTTTCCGCCTTTAGGTAGCCCGATCTTCGTTGCGGAGAGATGGAGCTGCCACCAAGAGCAAGGGTAATCATGGTTCCGGGCTCCATCCAGCGGCGTTGCCGCGACCAAGGCCGGCCGGGACAAAGATAATACCCCAGCCGGCCATGCCTGCCTGTGCCTGACACCAGAGCCGAGCTGTGGGCAAGCTGTAGACAAGTATATATTGGCCAAAGAGACAAAGCTCGCTCGACGTGAATCATTTCTGTTCCATCTTCATTCTCTCCATCATCCCTACTCGCCACCGTCTGTTCTCATCTGCTGTGCTGTCCATATCATACATACCATAGTCCTCGCCTCCCACACAATGGCCTCCAACGGCGACTCCAAGCCCGCGGCCAACGGCACCGCGCCGGCGCACCGCTTCGACCCCAACTTCACAAAGCATGTCCTGGAAACCATGGGCCCCAAGACCACGGAGCGGAACCGCGTCGTGCTCAGCGCCCTCATCAGGCATCTGCACGACTTCACCAGGGAGGTCGAGCTGACCATCGACGAGTGGATGGCTGCCGTCGCCTTCGTCAACGACGTCGGCCGCATCTACGGCGAGAGCGGCAACACCCGCAACGAGTCGCACCGCATCTGCGACATTCTCGGTCTGGAGTCGTAAGTTTCTTGCCTTGCTCCACATCTTGTCCTCCGCCTTGCCATTCCTCTTTGTTAACCCCGGAAACCACTTAGCCTCGTCGACGAGATCGCCCACAAGGTCATGTCAGAGAACGACGTCGACCCCACCTCGTCCTCCATCCTGGGCCCCTTCTGGTCGCCTAACGCGCCCTTCCGCGAGATGGGAGACGCCATCTTCCAGGACGGCGTGCCCACCGGAGGCCGCGTCGCCAAGATGCACGGCGTCATCACCGACATGGAGACGGGCAAGGCCCTGCCCGGAGCCATCTTCGACATCTGGCAGGCCTCGGCCAACGGCAAGTACGATTTCCAGGACCCGGAGAACCAGACGCCCAACAACCTGCGCGGCAAGGTCCGCGCCGATGAGAATGGCCGCTACTGCCTCTACGTCCTGCACCCGACCGCCTACTCGCTGCCCCGCGACGGCCCGTCCTGGCAGCTGCTGTCCATGATGGACCGCCACCCCATGAGGCCCGCCCACATCCACATCATGGTCTCCAAGGACGGCTACCAGACATGCACCACCCAGCTCTACCCCAAGGACGACCCCTGGCTGGCCACCGACACCGTCTTTGCCGTCAAGGACGACCTCGTCGTCGACTTTAAGCCCCTCGAGGGCGACTCCAAGGCCACCCTGGAGCTCGAGTACAACATTGTCCTGCCGCCCAAGAGCCTCATTGCTCGCCAGCGCCAGAAGCTGTAGACGGTTCGCGGCGAATTCAAGTTGCTTTCCTTTTTTGTACAGCCCCTTTACGCCTTTCACGAATAAGCTTGGTATATAGGACGAAGCATGGGAGTGACAGATGACGAGTCTGTATTGTATATACCCAGAGGTCGACTGTGTCAATTATCTCCAAGTCACCAAAAAACACTGTGTCATTTCGCGTCCATCTCATGTCCAAACTGTTGAGCTCAATTGAAAAGAAACCCGCGCCATAATGTGCATGTGTGTAGAGATAACTTCCAAGTTGCCATGTGCACAAAAATGCCGACTCTCTCCTTAACATGTAAAAGGATCCAAAGAGTAGAAACAAAAGGGTATCTGAAAAATGCAAGTAATGCGTTGCCAAATCTTGCGACGATGAATAACCCAAAGGATGGTTAGTAAGTGTCATAAAAGTCATATCCCCCAACTCCAGGAGCCCAGCGCATTTAAAACAGGTACCCAAATAAACAAAAGAATATGGGATCGTTGACTAAAAAAGAAAAGAGAAACAGAGACAGTATCTTAGTGCTTGTTGACAGCAGTCTTGCAATGGTTGGTGGCGATGTAGTTGACGCCGTGAACATAGTTGACGTGGTGAATGTAGTTGATATTGTGGCTGTTCTGAAGCGGCGGGACCGATATCTAGTAGACCGATGCTGTGTTTTAATCTTGAACAGTGCTTCTAGAAACAGCATGGGTGGCAGCCTAGTTCACTTTGAGTCTGTCATGTTGCGTATGACTGACGATTGCCTCGCAAGGAGTATGGATGTGGCGCAGTGGTGGCAGCCAGAGCGGCTGTGACAGGACATGTGGCAATGACCAACAACCTCTTGCTCGATTTGTCATGTCTTGTCTGTCGGCAGTCGTCACAGCCACCCCTACTGGCCCGACGTGCCCTGCTCGCCGGCACCGCCGCTGCTGCCCAGATGCACCTGGATGGACCTCAGGAAGCCCCTGATTCGGGCGCGGGTCGACGACGACTTCTTGTCCTGCTCGCCGCCAGCGTCCGACGAGGAGGGACCGCCGTGGCTGTGGTGCTTGACGGCGGCGGCACCCTTCAGGTCATCCTCATCATCATCATCATCATCATCATCGCTGTTGTCGCCACTGCTGCTGCTGCCGTCGCCGTAGGTGTGGTGGAACTGCTTCATGGCGATGGCGCGGATGGCGTCGTGGAACTCGATGTCCTCGTCGTACGGGAGCAGGGGGTCGCGCATGCTGTTGAGGCGCTGCTCCAGCTCCTTGACGAGCGCCTCGGGGATCTCGGCAGAGTCCCGGGCCGCGTTCTGCGAGACGTTGCCGACGGAGAACATTGTGGGTGATGATGTGTGCCTCTGATAGCCTTGAGCTGTTCTGGTGGTTCTTGTGTGGTGGAGATAGTTGCTGGTCTCGTGTGGTGGTTGCTTTGTTCTGAAGAGGCAAGTCTCGCTCCTTGAGAGATCTTGTCTTGTAGATGGTGACGGCGATGTCTTGAGGGCAAGGCTCTTATTGGTACTTTTCTGCTCTTGTAGGCTTGACCTCTTTGTATTCCGGTGATGTTTTGCTGTAAGCTATTCGGTTCTTGATGTCGAGAAGATAGGCCAGAGACTGTAGTGATGTGCTGGAGATGGCAGTATGTGATGTACGGTAAGTGTGTGTCGAGGTGCAGGAGAGAATGGAAGATGAGCGCTCCAGGAGCAGAACTAGTGCCTACTATATACACCAACAGGCAGCCCATCTCCGAAGGTTTCAGCGGGGCCGTTGGGGCACCCGCTGCGCAAAGTTCCCCGACATGGTGGAGAGTTGAACGGGCGGCGGGTGGTTGGGAAGAACGACATGGAAAAACACCGCGGCCCGTGGCGGCTCTGCAGCGGTCGGCCCAGCCGCCTGGGGCCCAAAAAGCTAAAAAGAGGCGTCACCCATCTCCGTCCGTCCGCCGGGTTCAGGTTGGTGTAGGTTGGTGGTGTAGGTCACGGAATGATGTATGCATGTGAGACGCATTTTGCGCGCGGCGCGGCGCCCCCCAAGTGCCGAAGGGGGACGAATGGAAAAACAGAAGATCGAGGCGGCAAAACAAAACAGACGCCGACGGCAGGCTCACTTGCATATATCATGCATCTACTGCAGGCGAGTTCCTGCATGCTAGCGTCGCGGCCGAGTCCGTGCCAACAGCCTGGGCCGTCTGCTTCCATCTGACAGGAGAACTGGCAGTTGGGGAGGAGAAACATGTCAGCAAACGTCAGCTGGTAGCAGCCCCAGGGTTTAGCAGCGAACTAGGTTCTGGAGATCCGGGGACGGGGGACGTCGGGGATAGGCGTCGATGCGAGGTCGGCCGAGTTCAGACCGGTGGCCAGTGCACATTATGGTGTGTGAGTCCGCTGGATGTGGCGCGGGGATAGAGTATAGAGAACCACCCTTGGTTGAAGCTACAGGATGGGATGAAGCGTCTGACCCGGCGAGAAGGGGAACCAAAGATCTAGAACGGAGCATAGGCTCCAGGCTTTGGAAGGGCACGGATGCTCAGAGCCCAATTGAAGTTGACTCAGGCTTTAGCCTCCAGACTCTGAGGCTTGCAACAAGGTTAAGTATTGCCTTGGGTGCCATCCATCCAGTTCAGATCCAGATTCCGGGTACCACCACGGTTGACGGTTAGGGTGGCGTTAAGTTAGAGATCAGGCTGCCCCACTCCCCAGATCAAACGATCTGACGGCTATCTGAGCTTTGGGTCAACGGCACCCCTCAGATATCCCTCGGGAGGCCGCCAGGAAACGAGGCGTCGAACCCTCCTCCCCTGATAAGCTTGGTTTGGTGCTGCTGCTTCCGTGCCCGGGGATAGTGGTGTGGTCTAGGTGGTACGACATAAGCTCTGCGCCTTGGACCCCACGGTCCCCGGGGGGAGGTCCCGGGTTCGAGCCCCCGCGGGGGCTCCCCGGGACCTCCCTTACTACACATTCTTTTTTTTTTTGTCTTTCATGAAAATAAGCCTGTTCGCTAGGTTCAGGTAAAAAAAAAACACGCAACGAACAGCCCGACATTGGAGCTCCATTTCTCACAGGGGAAATATATACACGGTGGCAGACGCAAAATGGTTAATTGAGTCTTTTAGTTATTTTTTCCGGCCTTTCTCCTTTACTTTTTAGGCTCCTCCGGCTTCTCCTCCGGCTTGGGAGTTGGCAACTTAAAAGACTCGGGTTTCCTATCAACGCCTGCGCCGACCTGCTCCCAGGCGCTGGTGCCGCCCTCAAAGTTGCGGAATGCCTGCGTGAGCTCGAGGGGCTCCGTGACGATGCGCTTCTTCTCCTCGTCGTACCGGATCTCGGTGTAGCCGGTGAGGGGGAAGTCCTTGCGCAGCGGGTGGCCCTCGAAGCCGTAGTCTGTCATGATGCGGCGCAGGTCCGGGTGCCCGGCGAAGAAGACGCCAAACATGTCGTAGACCTCGCGCTCGTACCAGTTGGCGCCGTCGTACAGGCTCGTGACCGAGGGCACGGGGGAGGCCTCGTCGGCGTACGTCTTGACGCGGACGCGGGCGTTGTGGCGCACGCTGAGGAGGTTGTACACAATCTCGAACCGCTGGTCGCGCGTGGGGAAGTCGACGGCAGTGATGCTGCTGACCTGTGTGAACTCGGCCGAGGTGTTGTCTGGCGGCGGGGGAGCACCTCTACGTCAGGACACCAGCAATGATGGCGGGGAAGGGCCGCATCTTGTCCCAGGACGATAGTGCCTGCTTACATTTGAGGAAGGAAAAGACGGGGATGACGCCCGAGGGGCAGATGTAGATGGTCAACTCGTCCTTCCAGAGCGAGAACTGCTGGATGTACTTGGGTAGGCAGGTCATGAGCCAGTTGCCGTAGCGGTGCAGGTTCTCGGCCTTGGAGGCGTACTTGTCGGCCGGGTTGACCAGGGGTGCCTGGAGCACGCCCGTGACTGGGCGGGGGGCCTGCCTCAGGTTCGGCGCATCCTTGGGCACGACGACGTCACGGGCTGCCGTGGCCGAGAAGAGCCGCACGGCGGCCGGGGAGGAGGCGATGGCGTCGGTCCGTACGACCGGCCGCAGAGCCGAGGCGAGCGCCCTGCTCCTGCACACTTTGCTCGCCATGGCTGCGGGGGGGCGAGAGAGTCGGCCAATTGATAGGGTGGCAGGGCCTGTTTCTGGGGGGGCTGCGATGTTGTCGTCGGCGGCTTCGGTGCTCTATAGAACCGTCGAGGCCTCTTGAGGGAGTCCAGGCGATAGCAACCTCCCGCAGTCCTGAGGCCGAAATTCCGCGCTGCTCCAGTCTCGATGGTGGGGCATGCTGACCAATTAGGAGCCGCCAATTGCCCTTGCTGAAAGGTCGTTGAGAAGTCGGCACGCCCACCTCCAGCAGTTCGGGCAAGGAATACGAATAGGAAAAAGTATAAAAATATAAATCATAAAAGGAGTAAAAATATGAATAAAATAGGAATAATTATAGAAACGATAGTAGAAAAAATAAAAACAGGAAAGCTTACGGCACAAACCATTCGACTTAATCTCAAGGGCCAGCCAGAAAGACCCACCGCCTCTCTATTCGCCCAACCGTGACTTACCACGTGCAATCCAGGCCCGCTAACCCCGTTTGGGTTTGGCGGATTCTGATCGCGCCGTCTCTGGCAGGCTCTGTCTTTTCCATCTCGACAAACGACGCTCCCTTTGACCTCTCCCGCGCTCGTCATCTGGCAGCATCACCAAAAACCTTCGCATTTCGATAGACGCCGTCATCTCCCCGGCCCCAGCCACGCCAACAGCGCCCCGCCGCTCGCCACCGCGAAAACACAGTTTTAATCCTTCAGAGCTCCCCCGAGTCCCTTTCAAGGTTGGGCGACCTGGGTCTTGCGTTTGTTTCCATCTCGACAAGTAGCCTTTTGGTCCTTGCGTTCAGCCACCGCCGCCCACCTTCGGGTTCTTTCGCGTTGTTTCGTCTGCCCCGCGCAACGCAGAACCATACTCTTCAGCTCCTCTTCCACGGGGCAAAGCTCGCCGGTTGCTCTTTCCACCGCACCCATCCCCACCCAGCAGACACCATGGCGCCCCAAGACAGCTTTATCGATGAGGAGGAGGACACCTGGTAAGTTCGCATGGAGCTTGGTCCCGCGCACCACATCGCCTTGCGCTGCCGCCGGCGCGAGATTGCAATGTAGCTTCCAGCACACCATTGGGAGCGATGTGCCCCGCTGACCGCCACGAAACCCAGCCCTCTCTGCATCGAGCAGTTCGACCTCTCGGACCGAAACTTCAGGCCGTGCCCATGTGGCTATCAAATATGCCAGTTCTGCTTCAACAACATTAAGAGTAACATGAACGGGCTTTGCCCAGCATGCCGGAGACCTTACGACGAGAAGACCATTCAGTGGAAGGTGGTCACTACGGAGGAGTATGGCCCCCACCGCCTGATGCAACATGGCACGGCTTCTGCTTCTTTCTAGGGGACCCCCGCTGATCTGTTGTATCCTTTCAGAGTTGCCGAGTTTCGCGCCAACATCCAGAAGAACCAAAAGAAACGGGCCGCCGAGCAGCGCCAAAAGGAGGTGCAGAGGCGTGAAGCCGAAAAGGAGAATCGCAAAAACCTCGTTGGCGTTCGCGTGGTGCAAAAGAACCTCGTTTATGTGACAGGCCTGACCCCCACGGTCCGCGAGGACGAGCTCCTCAAGACTTTGCGCAAGCCCGAGTTCTTCGGCCAGTACGGAAACATCCAGAAGATATCGATTAGCAATCGGCGAAGCTCGGATGGCCAAAACCAGTCGCTTGGCATCTACGTCACGTTCGAGAAGAAGGAGGACGCGCAGCGCTGCATCCAGGCCGTTAACGGCTCTCAGAACGGTGACCGCGTCCTCAAAGCCCAGCTTGGTACGACCAAGTACTGCTCTGCTTGGTTGAGACATGAGCAGTGCTCCAACCGACAATGCATGTTCCTGCATGAACTCGGCGACGAGGAGGATAGCTACACGCGACAGGATCTGTCGTCGATGAACAGCATCCATACCCAACGTCCTTTGTCGAACGCTGGCGGCTCGTCATCTCGTGCGGCTTCCCGGCAGCAACAGCAGCCGACTCCGGCCCAAGCCAGCCAGGCACAGCAACCGCTGTCAGCTCAACCAATGGCCAGGAGTGTCAGCAAAGAAGGCTCCGACAACGGCGACTCGTCTGCTCTGCCATCGTCGGCGAACTGGGCTCGGAACCCTCAGGTTCGCAGCAGGAGGGGCAGTCATGCCACTAGCGGTGCCGCATCGAGCCCCGCCATTTCCATGTCTTTGCCTGTAACAGCCGAGGCCCCGCAAGAGGAGGCTATTGAGGAGAGCCCGAGTGATGAAGAGGAGGCAAGCGAGCCCCCTGCCCCGACTGTGCCAACGCCCGCACCCGAGACGAGCGCACCGACCGAGCCCTCCAAGCCAAGGGGTCTCCATGATGAGATCCTGCGTCGACTTGTCAAATCTATCCAGAAATGCCCGTTTCCATTTGTGGCAGTGGACCAGCAGAAGCTGGACGCGTTTCCCCCTCTCTTCGACAGTCGGGGTGGCGAGAAGCGACGTGCGATGAGGGAGGAGGAGAACGAGACGCGGGGTGCCGAGTCGGAAGAGTCGGCTGAGGCACAGGAGGCCTCGGAGGGCGAACCTGAGCAGGGTGGCAGCCTTGCCCTTGGTGGGGAGCCCGAGGACCGCGAGGTTGGCCACGACGGTCTTGCGTTCGATCAGCGCCGCCCTGCCACGCAACCACCCATTCAGAGGACCGGCACTGCCGAGGGCATCTTCGGCCCTGCCGTTGGATCGAACTACTCGTCGAACGTGGGAGCAGTCGGGGCTCGAGCCATGACGCCGCAGCAGCAGCAACTTTTCTCCCGCCCACAGGGAGCGTTTGTCGATCATCTGCCTCCCGGAATCACCACGGCCCAGTCCTCGCTGTTCCAGGGCCAAGGCCAGGCGCATAACCGCCAGGGCTCGAGGTACAGCTTCGCCAATGAGAACAGCGACACGAGCGGCTCGACCTCGGTGAAGCTGGCCGCGAACCCGAGGGCCATGGCGCAGCAGTCGTCCATGATGCCTTCATCGTCGTCGTTCCATTCGCAGCAGGCCAACCAGTATTACGCCACTTCAATCTCTGGACCGCCGCCTGGGCTGAAGTCGACGGGGACGCCGCCGAACCTGTTTGGGCAGGGGCACGGTTTTGGTGCCTCTGCGTTCGGTGGCGGGTCCTCCAAGGACTCCAACGATCTGTTGCAAACGCTGATGCGCGGGCGCGGTGGCCAAGGTGCCCCGGCCCACGACGCAGGAAAGCGTGAGTACATGTTTCATTCATTTTCTAACCAGTTTCCTCCCTCACCTGCGTCGTCTACCCCGGCTCCTGCTCCTGGCCTCTTGGCATCGCTCTACGGGAATCAGCCCGGGGCCTTCCAAGACTTTGGGTCAAAGCAGAAGAAGAAGGGGAAGAAGCACAGACATGCTAACACTTCCTCCTCTGGGGGAGGTGGGTTAGTAGATCTTGCGGACCCGAGTATCCTGCAGGCGCGGATGCAGCACCAGACCAATGCCAATGTCGGACAGGGAATGTTCGGGGGGCAGTCGCAAGGTGGGTACAACCCCATGATGTACAACCAGGGGTACAACCGGGGGTGGTAGTCGGGGGAGGCGAGCATCTACAGCATCGCAATACCCAGCACACACTGCTTTTTGTTTGATGGGCAGTTATGTATGATTTCTTTCGGCCCTGTTCTGTTTCTACGACCTTTCGCTTCCTTTGCGCTCTGTTTTCTTGTTTCTGGGCGGGGGCCAATTTCCATCAAGGAGAGCGCCTCTCCCTCGTCACACATCTACTTATTTTATTACTCCCTTGATTCCCATCCCACCCTCCCCCACTACCCAGCATCACGGATACGAGCACGAGACCAGACTACACAAAGGATCTTTGCATTTACCATCTTATTTTCTGCTTTGTTTTCATTTTGAGCGAGCATCGCAAGGTCCTAGCCCCCGGGCGAGGGGGCTTGGTTTGCAAGGCGTCTTGGGCTTTTCTGGGGCACGAGAGGAGCATCAAGGATGGCGTTGGGTGGTGTCGCAGAACCACGACTTCTACGACAAATCCTCCTCGTTTCCCCGGCATCGGGATTTCCTTCAAGAAAGCATTGAGCAACAGGAGAAAAGAAGACACGACCCTCCCAACATCGCATTTCATGGCAGCACGATTTCGATCATAAAAAAAAAAACGGTCACGCAGGCAAGCCATCATCGTCTTCCTCGAGGGTATCATTTGTACGTTAACACGCCGGGCCCAGCTTTCATCCTAGAGGGCGAGGCCACTGGGCGGCCTGTGGTTCTGTTCGACAAGAGAAATATACTATAGTTCTTCTTCAAGAACGGCCGACAAAAAGAAATGGGCTCGCGAAGCTGCCCCGTTTGATGCCCTGGGAAGACGGTGGTGGTGGAGTTACTCTGGCCTGCCTGTGCCGTGTGTCTCCTTTTCCCCGCTCGTATCTGTTACACGACGCTGCCCCCCGGATGTATATACTTGCCTATCTGTGGTGTGCTCTGCTGTGGTGCGACGCTTGGCTTTCTCCGACTACCCGGGCGCTCATTAGGTTCCTGGCCTGGTCAGGCGTGGCTTGGCAGATACTTTCTGCACGTCGGCGGAACACTAAAGGCTAACAGTTTCTCTCAGCAGAAGAAGACCTTTCGGCTCTTGATGAGGCGGTCACGAGTAATATCGAGGCCATCATATCGGATGAGTCGAGCGAGACGGCCGTGCTACCACCGCCGGGAAATCTTGGAAGCACCGCCGGCCGCTCAGGGACACCATCTGTGCCCCCCGGATTCGGCCTTGTCGCTGCCCCAACGCAACCTGCACAGACGCCCACCAAGCCCGCATTGCCGGTTTCTCTGGCACCCACCCCGACCCGGCAGCCGGCTTCGGCCGCCGTCACGCCGTCGAAGAGGTCGGGCACCGAGGCCAAGAAGAACATCAAGGCGTTGGCTGTCGAGAGCGGCCTCACCAAGGACATCGCAGCACAGTCTTCCAAGTCGACCAAATCAAAGACGGTACTGCAGGAGGAGGACTTTCCTGCGCTGGACGCCGTCAAACCTGCAGCTGTCTCGCAGCCCGCCGTTCCTCCTGTGCCTGTCAGTTCCAAATCAGCAGCAGCCAAGTCGGTGGCCAAGAAGGGCGCCGCACCGGCCGAGACACCGTCAACTTCGAGCCCCAGCACTGCAGTCACTCCTGGCAAGAAACAGACGCCGGGCATACTGAACGTGGGCGCTGCGACCAGGGCCACGGTTCAACCTCGCCCCACCGACTCGACCACGGCTACCGCGTCCGAGAAGTCGGGGGCGGCAGTCGACTCGGCATCTGCCTTCCCGGCACTCCCGACGCCGACTACTGCGGCTTTCCCCTCGCCCTCACCTGTTGTCCGAACGGCGCCTAAAACCCTTCGGGTTGTGTCGACTCCAAAGGGCGAGGCGCCTCCTCCAATGACGGCAGCTGCCGCTCTCGCGGCCGCGTCGGCCACTTCTGGCCGGTCCTCGGCGCTGTCGTCACATCGTCCTGGGACGCCGCATAGCGAGTTCATCTCGGATACGGCCTCGATAGTGTCGGGCAGTATTACCACGTCGCGGCCCAACTCGCCGCCCCCGGCCTCCAGGATAGGGTCAGCGGCGGTTCGCTCCACTACCAAGAGCCAGCAGCGCAAACAACGCAAGCAGGCCACCAAGCTGGAGTCGGCCGCCCTGATTTCGTCCAGCACCCAGCCGACTCCTGTGCCCGAGGCTGAGGAGCCTGTGATCGCGCCCATCATTGGGCGCAAGAAGAAGCAGAAGAAGGAGAAGGCAGCCAGCAGCTCGCCGACCCCTGTCGAGACCCGATCGGCTACTCCCGCTTCGCCACAGGTTCCGGCGAAGGAGGACATGGAAAAGGAGGAGAGTGGCAAGAATGGGCCCATCAAGGACGTGGACGTAGGGGAGCAGGCGCCTCCGACGCTGCAGAAGCAACAGCCTGCCAGTAACGACAAATCGAGCAAGCAGAGCAAAGCGACCGAGAACGGAAAAGGCAAGGGCAAAGAAAAGGAACAGGGAAAGGATACGCCAGCGTCGCCCGCCCATGCGGCTGAGGAGACGCCAGAGAAAGAGCCGTCCTTGGACGATGCAAAGACAGCATCTGGGAAGGTGGCGCCTACCCCGGCGTCGACCTTGCACGAACTTGAGGAGATAGGGCTCATCGGGGACGCGTCCAGGATCAAATTTCTGGAACCCATTATTGGTATTGGCCATAAGCCTGATCGGGCCGACGCAGCAGCTGCAGCCGCCGCAGCAGCAGCCGCCGCCGCCGCCGCCGCCGCCGCCGCTGCTGCTGCTGCTGCCACGTCCAAGGACAGCTCTGGGTCAACAAAGTCGATCGTGAACGACGAGGATCACGCGGCGCTACTTGGGGGGGCAGGTGGTACGCAAGGTGATGGACGGAGTTCGGGTCCTGCTGACGCCCAACGGAGACTGCGTGCGCAACCTCACGGAGGAGGAGGAGAACCGGTTCCTGGAGCTTCAGGAGTCCCTCGCGGCGACTGTGGGCACGCCGGCGTTTTACACGCACCCGCGACACGAGGCCACGGGCGGCTTCAGCCTGATAAAGGGCAGAGCGGTGCCCAACGGACCGCCGTCCTTTTTCCCGCCGCCGCGCGGGTCGTACGCGACAGACCCGGTTGGGAAGATCCAGCGCGAGGAGGCCATCTACTACATCAACCAGTACGTGCTGCCCAAGCTGAACCTGGGGGCGTCCAACCTCGGCCTGCCGGCGCAGTGGAAGGGCAACGGGGCCGGGCCGGGGCCGGCAGGGACGGGGGCGAGCATCCACCCCGACGGCAGCATCAACGCGTCGGCGAGCACCAGCCTCTCGGCCATCATGCCGTGGATCTACAGCTCGTCGGCCGGTGGGCCTGTGGACCCCATCGAGCCGTGGTCGGGCGAGGGGCCGGACGAGGCGCTGCTCTCGTCGCTCGCCGACGCCGGCGCGGTGCATCCGCATCATCACCACCACAACCACCACCACCAACACCACGCCGCGGGGCCGTCAGGGCTGTCGTCGTCGGCACCGGCACCGACGTCGTCATCGCCGCCGCCGGCAACGAGCGGCAGCCGGACGCTCGGCAACGTGCCGCTCATGAGCGTCGAGGACGCCGAGAAGGCGCTCCAGCTGGCGCGGCGCGAGACGGAGAAGCTCGAAAAGTCGCTGAGCCAGGTCATAAGGAAGAACCGACGGCTGCTCGTGGGCGGCGGCGGCGGCGGCGGCGGGCCGGCGAGTTGACTAGCTCCCGCGCCGCGCCTCGGCGCCCGCGCGGGCCAGGCCGTGCTCTTGGCCGTCTGGGCCGCCGTCGCGGCGCTCGGGGACGTGATTGGGTTCACGGGCGACGTGGCGCTCGCTGCGTTTGGCGTCTTTGTGGGCGCTCTAGATTGGGTTGGGGCTGTTTACTGAACGGAGGGTCTCCCTTTACTGCATGACCTTTTGTTATTTTTTCTACTCTTTTTTGCTCGGGAAACGGCATCGCTCCGACTTTATTCCTTTCGGTTTTGTTATCTGGGGGCTTGTGCGACTCGGGAGACTTGTATCCCTGGCTGGTGTATATGACTACGACTGTATGAGTATGAGTACAAGGCGTACATGTTTTTCCCCCCTTGTTCTCTCTCACCTCTCTGATAAACGGTATGGTCTTTTGCTACCCCATTACAAGACGGTGGTCGGGCTCCGGGACTAGAACAAAAATAGGCTAGAGACTCCGGCACGCGTTGTGTTTTTGTTCACTTTTTTCTTCATTCCCTTCTCGGTATGTCTGCTCGTTACCACATATCCTGCACCTGGTATGGGCTGTTTGTGGATGGCAGCGCGCGCGTTGTGGCCGGAATTCTGATAGGGGTATGCGCTTCATGTATATTTATTTGCCCTGGTGTCAACAGCGGAAGTCTTCTTTGCCGGCGGGATCACGGCATAAACATCAGTTGTGAAGCAGGACATGAAGGCGGCGCGTGATGACTGTGCACGTCACCACACAAAAGATGTCTTGTGGTGGGTATTGGGCCTGCTCCCTACACCCCCCCTCTTAGGGCTGCCCTTGGCTATGCAGGGCCAGCCTTTTGTTCTTGGACTAAGATGCCTCCGCGCCGGTCCTCCACAGCCATCCATTCTCTCATATTTGGCCTTTTGCCATGGACTTGTTGCGTGAATGACACAGTGCTGTCAACCAGGAACAACAACCCCGGCCCTGACGTTGGTTTGATTACCAATCAAAATCGCAGAGCCATTGACGACTTTCCCAATCGGGGAAGCAAATAAATTCTGTTGAGACGCACCTTGGCCATTTTACCTTGGGCTTTCTATAATCTCGCATTTTATTCCCCCTCGGCTGCGCACTCCCCAAAAACACAGTTCGTCCCGCATAGGCTCAAATGTCGCCCCCTCCAAAGTCGTCAGGGCCGCCGCTCTGGGTCTGGGCTCTGATGCTCCCGCTCGCCACCCTGGGCCTCCTGGGCCTGTATCGGGACGTCGCCCAGCCGCTTCTTCTCTCCCTCATCAAACACCCCGACGTCGACGTCGTCGTCGTCGCCACACCGGCCCCCGCTGCCGCAAACGCATCCTCGGGCCTGTTCGGCGCCCTCGACGCGCGGCGCACCTGGTACGGCCTCGACAAGCACCTCCCCGTCCCCGCGGGCCGCGTCGCGCAGCTGGTGCGGCACGCGCTGCAGGCCACACCCAGCGCCTTCAACTCGGAGCCCGGGCGCGCCCTGGTGCTGCTCGGCGCCGAGCACGACCGGCTGTGGGACGCCGTGGCGGCGGCGCGGCGGGCCGTTGTGCCGGCCGAGCAGTGGGAGGCGTCAGCGGCGGGGAAGCTGGCGGCGCACCGCGCGGCGGCCGGGACGGTGCTGTTTTTTGTCGACAGGGGGGTGGTGGGGAGGTGGGCGGCCGACGTGCCGGCGCACGCGGCGTCGTTCCCCCGCTGGGCGGCCGAGTCGGGCGGCATGCTGCAGCTGGCGGTGTGGGCGGCGCTGGCGGCCGAGGGGGTCGGGGCGAACCTGCAGCACTTTAACGGCGCGGTCGGCGAGGTCGTCGCCAAGGAGGAGGGGTGGGGCGTGCGGCCGGGCTGGGAGGCGACGGCGCAGCTGGTGTTTGGTGGGCGTGTAGGGGACACGCCGCCGCCCAAGGGGAAGATCCCGATGGGGGAGAAGCTTGTGGTGCGCGGGGAGGTGGTCTGGAGGCGCGGGGAAGGGGTGTGTTTGATTTGCAACCTTTTTTTTTTTTTTTTTTTTTTTGGCATAAGCATTCTATATCGTGTCACGTTAGATTCCCAACATGCGTCCATCTCTCCATCACCCCCTGATAACCAGCCCTCCATTACTTACAGCTCTCCCTTCCCTTCAAAAAACAGCCAGCGGCTTGTCGAGCCCGGACTCGCTCGTCCGCGACGTCAGCCTGACCTCCTCGGGCACCGTCGCGGGGAAGCCCAGGACGGCGAGCTTGCCCTGGACCTGGTTCTCGGCCTTGCAGTCGCTCAGGCAGTTGGTGGGCGGGTTGGCCACCTCGGTCGCGTCCCCGCCCGTGACGGCGCCCATACGGCCGCCGCTGGCCACGTCCCAGACGGCCACGCCGCCGCAGTAGTCCTTGGTCTCGGACAGGCCCAGCGCGTTTGCAAAGTCGGGCCCGCACCCGGGCTGCGCCACCCGCCGCGCGACCTGGGAGCTGTCGCGCAGCACCAACGCGGCGCGGTCGTCGCGCCCGATGTTGACGCGCGGGCTCACGCGCACGCAGGCGTCCCCCGGGGGTCCCGTCTGCTCCGACGCGCACCCGCCGCCCAGGTACTTGCCCAGGTCGGCGCGGAAGGTCGGGTTGTCGTAGTGGAAGGCGCCGGGGGCCAGGGTGTGCACGAAGCGGGTGCTGGCGTTGTCGGCGCGCTCGGGCTCCGCCTGGAAGATGCCGCCCTGGGCGCAGTCCTTGGCGCTGATGGAGACGGACAGGCCCGGGCCGGACCGGCTGAGCTTGAGGACCTCGTCGCGAAGCTCGACCGAGATGGCCGACGTCAGGCTCAGGCCCCGGTGGTCGGGCACGCGGCTGGCCCAGACGGGCGTGTAGCGCCCGCCCGTCATGTCGCCGACGTTGTCGCCCTTGCCGACAAAGGCCCAGTCGTAGACGGCGAACGTGGCCGGGTCGACCTTGAACTCGAGGAACTTGCCCTGCACCTTGAAGACGTCGGCCGACTTGTAGTCGATGTCACCCCCGAACCGGCCGTCCCGCGGGCCCTGACTGACGCCCAGGACCGTCCAGCTGCCGCCCTCGCAGAACTTGCTGCTCGCGGCCGCGGCGGGGGCGGCGAGGGCCAGGAGGCTGGTCAGCGCCAGGGCGAAGGAGGTGTTCTTGCTTGGTGCCATGGTGGGGAGAAGACTGTGTCGAATGCCGGGGAAAAAAAAAAGGGAGTGGCAAAGATGGCTCAGTTCTCTGTGAGGTAAAGAAGGAGGATGAAGAGAAGAGCCGGGAGCGGTGGTCTCTTGCAACAACAATATCACGAACTGGCCGAGACCGCCGTATTTATGACCGCGAGAGCCCCCGTCCCGTCCTCGTCAGCGCGAACTGCCAAAGCAGGCCAAGGCGGCCTTCGGGCTCCAAACCCTCCACCATCACAGAATGGACAACAAATCCGGTATAAACTCTTGACTTGGCTTCAGGTCTTGGCAGCAACTACAGCCGCGAAGGACATGGAGCTGCCATCCCATATCGGGAAGGCGACGGAAGGCGATGGACGGCGGGGGCCATTATGTAGATTCGCCCGAACGTGGTTGCAGCATGGGACGGGACTGGAGGAGAGAGGTGAGGGCATCCCGGCCCGCAGCCGTTGCGAACGGATGGTTGGTCGGATGGAGGGGAGGGGTCGGCGAGGAGGGGGGGCATGGGGGATGAAAGCTTGATGTTCTTTAGAACGCACTGCTTATAAATGAAGCGGTACTGCCACCTTCTGCACCCGCCCCGTTTTCCCGTTTATACTTGCCCTGGCCCGCCCTGACGCCGGGCCGTGCCACGGAGACGTCCAACCAGAGACGGGCTAATATGCGCGCGTTGATTACACATCGCGAGTCCTGCGGCGGCCAGAACCCACCGCGAGGTGACGTGCCACCCCGGCCGGGCCAAGGCGGTGGGATCCAAATCCCGAGAGGAGGAGGGTCTCTTCCGGAAGAGGAGGAGATGGGCAAGGCGATGGGGAATCAGAAAAAAAATAGCAAGAGGAAAGATTACTGAGCAAGGAGAAGAGAAGGCGCTTTCCTCGATCAAAAAACCAAAAGCTAAGCGACGGCACAGCCACACAACCCGAACCCGCATTGGAAGGCCCCCCTTGTCAATAGGAAGCTAATTTCCCCGAAGCTTATCTGTGCTTGGCGGGCTTTTGAGGCATGAAAGACCAGCCCTTTGGGTTTTTCGCATCGGGTGTCAACAGCGATCATTTTGCGCGGGGAATTTGGCGAGCTGGGCGAGTGGCTTAGGATATCCAGTCCGTGGGGGGAGGGGGAGGGGGAGGAACTGGGTTGTCACGTGAATACCACGTGCATGTGTGTCTGGCTTTTTTGGAAGTGTTGTAGTGCGTTGATTATTTTTTGGCCAACGTGATCAGAAGTTTGTATGCGGGTGTTTCTGTGCCCCTGAGTGCAGCTGTGATGTCAGCCTGCATGCCAAGATGGAAGGACGGCACTGTTGCTGAAACAAGCCTACTGTCGCACGAGCCGTTCTTGCCCACTCCCGCTTGATGCCCGAATGTATACAGGTTGAGGAATGATTGGGGGTCCCTTGCACCGGTGGCCGTTGTGCCAGCAAGTCGGTATGCCGTCCATGCAACGACGGGCTGATGATCTATCTACCGAGCGGATAACACCATACGGCCCCGAAAATTCTCCATCTCCGACGTCTTTTGCCGCCACACTAGCCCCGCGCCACCGTAGTTCCAGAAAAAATGCTGCACCTGGTCATGTCTGTCGAAACCACAGAATCAAGAAGGAGCTGGCGCCCGCGGGAGATCTTCGGTCACACCGCAGGGCCCAGGAACCCCAGTGCTCATCAGAGACCCCTCGCTCGGCCTCGGCGAGGTGGCGCGCGGTACGCGCCGGTCAAGGCCGGTGGTGGTCGGTATACCCACATGGCGGCCGTGTATAGGTATGCAGCCAGAGGCCTCCGTCCAGGCCCTTGTCAGCCTCGCCTACCCATCTTCTAAAGAAAGATATCGGGCTGGTTGGCCTACTACCTCTGCCACTACAGTACTCTGCGCCGCTACTCTGCAGGGGTGGAGGCTACAGTCCTGCGCGCCATGGCTGTGCCAAAAAAAAACAAAAAAAAACAGTCTACGGCCGGTTTGAGCACATTTATCCGATTGCATGATGCACCTAGCAGCCCCCCAGGTCACCGCTCCCCTGGTGGGGGGGTTAGGGAAGGCTCCAGCCTGGGTGCCGGTAGTCTTCGGTGGTGGGCGTCCGCGAGCCGTGTGTCCCCCAGGTGGGCTAGGCTTTGCGTCTCCTGGGGCCCGCTGACGCTGTCATGTCCGACTCCACCAGGTCCAGGCGATCATGCTCGACTTGTCTGCGGTGTCGGCAAATATTATAGATGGTGATTTATACAGCCCCAATGTCACTCTCGCGTCGGCCCACTCGTACGAAGCCCCGGGGCTGTCAGGGCGAACTTCCAGTCCTTATCCCATTCCTACACTCACACATAGACATAAAGTGTCAAACACAAGAAAGAAACAAAGAAATGAAGGAGAAGGCGGCACTGGCGGCGATCTCATATCTGGGGTATATCGGGTGTTTTATCCTAGTTGGGCTCTCGCTCTGATCCTAATCCTCTGTCATGTACGACCAATGCTACCCTCTACTGACTGCCTACCTAGCCCTTTGTTTCGTTGGCATAATGCCCAGTAGGGTTTGACGCAAAACGACATGACAACACAAGAAAACAGGCACCCCAAAAGAAGCAAGGCAACAAAGGGAGGTTGAAATTCCATGGGTACATGTAGATGCGCTCGCGGGGGATATAGGAGGCTAGCACGTCAAGGTGCTTGGGTCCCATCCCAAAAGGATGCAAAATAAAGGAGATTTGAGCAGAGAGAGACAATGGCTAGCTAACGAAGCGCAGGCAGGCACATGGGTGGCCAAAAGAAGAAAAAAAGAAAAAAAGCACAAGCAGATTGGGCTGTCCATGAGCTTTCATACAAAAAGGGTATTGACGACGACGTCGCAAATCTGCGCCAGCGTCGGACAACCAGAGCGAAAGAGAGCGGCGACGCCGAGACGATACCTGTCCCTGGCGGGGCCCAGCAGGGCCGCGGCGCCCTCGGACGCGGCGGCGCCGGCCTCGGCCTCGAGCCACTTGCGCTCGGCCTCGTCCCTGGCGGCGCGCAGCACCTCCTCCGTGTCCTCCGACTCCCAGAGGTTGCAGCGGCTGCACTGGTCGCAGGGGCGGGGGTCGCCCTCGGGGCGGAAGTGGTCGCAGAAGTGGCGGTAGCCGACGTCGGCGCCGTCGCCGTCGCCACCGTCGCCGCCAATGTCCTTGCGGCAGACGTAGCACATCTTGTAGCCGCACGGGCACGTCAGCTTGTTGCAGCCGGCCGTCTTGACGAAGGACGTGTTGCAGCGCGGGCACACGCGCTTGATGGCCATGCTCATGGCCTGCTCCACCTGCGTGCGCAGCGCCACCAGCGCCGACTCGTGACACACGTGTATGTCGGCCCAGGCCTTGCCGCACGACAGGCACGACGTCCGCCCGCAGGATGGCTGCAGGCACACAAACTTGAGGCCGCGCCGCCGCCGCCGGTGCCGTGCCATGGCGGCCCGGAGCTCCGACGCCAGCCGGTCGCCGGGCGCCCGCTGCGACGTGAGCACCAAGCAGCCGAAGGACAGGAGCAGCAGCGCGGGTAGCAGGAACGGGACGACGCCGATGCAGAGCAGTAGGAACGCCAGGTTGAGGATGCCGTCAGCACGGAGGCGGAGCTCGGCCTCGCGCGCCGGCAGGTACAGGTCGTCGACCTCGGCGTAGCTGCAGAAAGGGCAGCGGACCAGGGGCAGGCCCGACGCTATTAGCGTGTGCTCGGCAAGCCGTTGGTCCAGCCTGTGAAGGACCTCGGCCCCGTTCCTCTCCTCCAGCATGGCGCGGTGCATCTGGTCCACGGGGATGCAACCGGGGCACTCGTCAGCGTCAACAGCGGGGCACCGGAGCGTGCCCAGCTCCCTGTCGATGCTCCGCTGCCACCCCTGCCCGAAGACGGCCTCGGAGATGGAATGCTGGACGCAACGGAAGCAGAGCACGTGGTCGCCCGTGTTACAAGTCGTCATCTCCTCAAAGGTGGCCGTGGTGAAGCAGCACGCGCACTCGTGCGTCGCTCCCGTCTCCTCGGCCTCCTCCGTGTTGAGCACGATGGCCAGCACGCGGTCCTTCTCCTCCTGCGCGATTCTCGCCTTGCTTTTCAGCGGGGCGACGATCCCGGCGTACAGCTCCCTATCGAGCTCCGGGCTGCCCGTAGCCTTGATGGTGGGCAGTATAGAGCCTTTCCCGGACGACTTCCAAACGACCAGCGGGTGGCTCTTGGCCGCCTCGGCCGACGTCGGGGAGGGGGCCGGCTTCTTGCGAAAGAAGGAGGTCACGGTCGAGGTCACGGCGAAGCGCCACGACTTGGACGATATCTCGACCAGTGTATCGCGGGCCTCGAGATAAGAGTAATTCTGCTCGGCGAGGACGGCCGCGATGGTTGACCGCGAAAGGCCCTTGAACTCCTGGAATGCCAGTGTCTTGACGGCCTCCTTGTACGCGGCGCTGCGGAAACGCTCCTTGGTCGGGACGAGGGAAGAGCTCGCGCCGCGTTCCGGCTCAGCAGGCGTCGCGTGGCTTGTATCCTTCTCGTTGGTCGAAGCGCTGGGAACATGCGCATGTGGCGGTGCTATCCCCTTGGTCCCTGCGGCATCGGCCACCTTCCAGCGCCCCTTGACCCAGGACATGCGATTCTTCAGCAGGGCGTCGGCGACGACGTTGAGGCGGGATTCAGACCCCAAGCTGGTGAGCATCTCGCGGAAGACGTCGACCTGGACATCGGGGAATACGGCGGCGAGGGCGTCGAGGCAGCTGTTGAGTTCCCGGAGGTCCGGCGGTTCGTCGGGCATGGGCCGCAGCTGGGACTCATCTGAGATGTGCTCGGGTCCGTGCCCGGGTTGGTCCTGGCGCTGGGACGATGGCGACGAAGCCGAGGGTCCGGCCGAGGACGGGGCATCGGTGCTAGCGCTGGCGGCGGCGGCGGTGGCTGTGGAGCTGCCGCTCGAGCGCAGCGAGGACAGGCGTGGGCGCGTCGGTTGGTTGGAGCCGGCAGCGGCGGCGCTGCGGGAAGCGAGGCGATCGGCCCTAGATGCCGCCAAGAGTCCTGCAAACACCATTTTGGCGGCGGGGCGGGGACGCTTTCATGCTGGGGCTGGTCGAGACGCGGGCCGGCATTCCTCTGCTGCGGTGGCCGTCTGCTTAGGGCGTGGGCGTGGGCGTGGGTGTAGACGTGGGTGTGGATGTCTTGCTGTAGCGCCCTCTGGAGTAAATTTGTTATTCAACAACAGACCAATACGTCTACGTATCTCCAAGGCGTCAAGTCTAAGCGGGATGGGGCCGCCGAAGCCAAACGGCGGGTGCTGTCTGCCGGCCGTGGGGGGGGGGGGGACGTGGACCTGCCCGGCATAAGGCTTGCGTGCTGCGTCGCTTGCCCCCAATCTGCGGAATCTCGGCAGCCGCGAAGCGAGCCCGCGTGCATGGGCCACCGACCGCCAACTGCCAGCGCGAGCTAGCCTCAATGCTCAATGGACCCGCACGGCCCAGTTTTCCGTGCGGGGTATCGTGACAGACCCGGGCGGGGCACCGCCACGAGGCAGCAAGAGATTCAATCACACAATTGAGGGTTCTGAGGGTTCCATGGATTTTCCAGGGCCCAACTGTTTAAGGGCGCACCTCGATCTGGATATGGGCCTATTGGGAAGCGGCGCATCTTCATTTGCTGCTCCCGCCCCTCCTCCCTCTTGCACACCCCTTTTAACCCTCCCCCAGGTGCAAACGAACACCGCTAGATTGAAATGGCGGATCCAGTAGATGGATGAGTGGGCGGCGTGCAGTGCACCGCTCCCATGCCAAAGTTCCGATCGGGCGGCCCCCGAGACGGGCAGGTGGGTTGTGGACAGTCGACTCTGTTACCCGTGTCTGTCTGGCTTTATGCATGTCTGTTTCCTGAGGCGAATGTCTTGATCCAACTCGCTTCGCCCAAGACAGCTCGGGTTTTCTCCTCTGACTGCAGACAGCTGTTTGTCACACAAAACTCGATAGATCTGGCGAATCGGCCGACACAACCAGAACTCGAATCAAGATATCTGCAGCCTCCCATCCTCCCTGGTTTTCTGTAGCCTCCCGTGGTGCTGCTGCCGACCGGCTCAACTTTCACTTGATGTTGGGACGATATTGCCATGTACTTGAGTCTGGTATCTTATTCTCTTCTTCGGCCCCGGGCGGCTGCTGATGTGCACACCCGTCGTTTGCCATTGCCTCTCATGCCTCTCATACCTCTTTTCCTATCTTGCATGCAAACGGAAAACCCGTCCGCAACTTCTTCAGCCGCAGCCCTTGTGCTACCGGATACGCCCGATTTACACGAACGCTTGCAACATGGGCGGCCTGAGGCGAAAAACAAGCGGGCCAACCAGGAACAGGCCCTTGGTAGAGACATCACATGAGACTGGGCAAAGGTGTGAAAGGTGACGAAGGCACAACAGCGAGGAAGCCAAGGACACACGGAATGGCGCAGGAAAGAGGCACGGGGAGCGTGGCTCTGGCACTAGCAAAATGCTTGCTCACGCTTTCTTGCGTCCTTTCGGTGCGTTGCCGCCTTGCGTTTGCTTCCGATCGCGCAGATGCCGGAATCCAAACCCAGGGAGCAGCCTGGTTCTCACCGAAGACCAGCCTGCAGGTCCAGGCGGTGAAGGCCCGTCACAGTTTCCGGCCACTTTCCAGTCCGCATAAACCTTACGCGGACAGGCATCTATGGAACGAGACGGAAACCCGCCGGGTTGAGCAGAGTCAAACAAGTCCCAAATTGACAGCCACCTTCCCTGAAGCACGCCGGGCAAAGCTATCGGGGCGGCACCTGATTCGCGCCCGCTGCGTCCAAGCTTGCATGGGAACCCTTTTTTCGGGAGAGGGCGGTGACTGTGTGGCGCTTTGCCCCTCACCAAGTCGTGGTATGTGTTGTTTGAAGGAAACATGAAAGAAAAAAAACCCCGGCCACCAACAGGGGGGGGGGGGGCGCCATATTTTTGGTCGCAAACGGGCCAACCACCACCAACACAAAAGAGCCTCGCCCTTTTTTTTTTTGAAAAAAAAAATCACGCGTTTTGCTCCGGCCATCCTAGCCAGCTGAGTCTAGTGGTGGGATCCGAGCTCGGCGTCATCCAATGTCAGATGTGAGCGCTCAGCGATGATTGCCACCGACGACCACACGGCTTCCATCAGCACTCAGCCGCCAGATTCGTGTCCTCCCCAGGACATATCAAGCGAGCGCTCGAGCACTTATTTACTTGCCTGCTTGCTGACCGACTTGCTGCTCGTCAGGACGAAAAGAAATTGGAATGGAGAGATGTACAGGTGCGTGGATCCCTGGATGCGGGTCAGTTGGTGCCACCGCCAGGTACGCGGTGTACAATCAACTGCTGCTCCACGGGGCGATTCCAGTCGCGAATGCTGCCCAACCCTCTGAGCCAGGCTGGCTGGGACCCATCCGTTCCTAGCGGACGGAGACTTGTTGTGTCTAGGGAGCGCATGCTTGTGCACCCACGCCGTCCGCCGGAGTGGCTGGACGGCTCTGTATCTCAGCCTGGACGGGCGCTAGGGTTGTGTGTCACGTCCAGTCTGCTGTGAGCGCTATGTAGCGGTCTGGCCTGGGAGCCACCGGCTGCTCGCTCGCCCGCTGTGTTTCGCTACCTAGGCGATGTTCGGTAGCATGTCGAGTGTCATTTCCATTTCCGTCTCCATGTTGGTTCCGAGCTGGCAGAGTCGAGTGACGTGACCGGACGTGACCAGACGTGACTAGAGGGACGACGAGTGCAACACCAGGGGCCAAGCCCGCTCTTTCGCCTTGTCCATGTTCCCGCCGACTGATCTCGTCCCGTCCGAACCCCCCATCTTTCCCTCACTAGAGGTACACAAGGCAACATGAGACCCCTTTTTTTTTTTCTTCCCACAGCCGCCCGCCGCTGTTGTGGCCGGTTGATGGGCCCGACTTGTTTCTTCTCTACGCCATCTCGCCCCCTGCTCCTCGTCTGGGACGCGCAGTGCAGCGCATGGTGCCTGGCGTGGCGTTCGCACCAGCCCGTCCTTCTGGAAATCGGGGCGGGAGGGGGGTGTGGGCCAGCCAGCCTGACACAGCGGGAAGGCAGCAGACACACAAAATCCCAAAGGAAAGCAAAAAGAACCGGCCCCACCGCCTGGCGGGGCCGGCTCACCGACTTTCACAGTTCGTGTGTAGCAGTTCCCGACTTTCGGTGACGGGCAAAGCCCCTGTTGGAGAGGCCAGCCAACCAGGCCCTAGCGTGGCCCCTGTCGAATGACGAATCGAAGGGAGGAGAGAAAGAAGAGGGAAAAAAAAAGTCAAACCGCAGCCCGTCGATTTTTTATTGTTTTTATTTTTTGTTCTGGTGATTATTTTCGCACCCACTCTGCTTTCCTGGTGCGTGCAGGGGCAACCTACGTGGAGCGTGGCATGGCCTGTTCCGGCTCGCTGCTTGGGCGCGCTGACCCCTGCCTCCCCCAATCATCGAGAGCCCTTGGGTTTCCCGCCTTTTCGCAGGCACCGACCTGTTCTTAAACCGCACGTCTCCGCCATCCCTCATGGCTCAAACACCATCCTTTGGCTTCAATGTCTTGCTTGCCGGGATGGAATCACTTCCTGTTGAGCTCCTGCGGCTCATCTTCCAGTTCTGCGACCCTGGCGCCGTCCGGGCCCTCCGATTATGCAGCGGCAAACTGGCGGAGGTCGGCGAGGAGTACCTCGTCGACCCAGTCTTCCGCTCGCTGCCCTGGAGGGACGACGTGAAGCGCCTTCACGCGCTCTCGGGCCATGAACGCCTCAATGCCGCCATCGAGGCCCTCGTCATCAACTTTGCCCAGATGGACGAGCACAACGGCCGCCACACCTCGTACCTCCAGCACTTTTACCAGGACCCCGAGGAGTGCAGCGCCCTCCTGCACGAGGCCTGGCACCGCTACTACCAAGCCGAGGGGTACCGCCAGGACATACCCGCATTCTCCAGCCAGGCCGCCCTGGTTCAGGAGGCCTTCGCCCGCCTGCCGAACCTGAAGGACCTGCGCGTCACCTTCACCGAGAGCCCCCACGACATCGAGCCCATCCGCCAGGCCTTCCGCCTGCCGGGCTGCCGCAAGATGAACCGCAAGCAGGCCTGTGCCGACCTCAACGTCCTGATCTCGGCCGTCTCGGCCGCCAACCTCACCTCCCTCGAGATCGACCGCCTGCCCCTGGAGCTGTTCAAGGTCCGCCACAGCCGCCAGCACTGGTTCGAGAGCGCCCCCGCCCTGGCCAACCTCACGCGCCTCAACATCACCCTCGACTCGTCCGAGGTGCAGATGCCCACGACAAAGTTCCGCGCCATGAACGGGCTCGGCCACTTCCTGCGCTACGCCCCCAACATCGAGCACCTCGGGCTCGGGTTCCACAACTACTCGAGGCCGCGCGAGAAGTACCAGGTCTGGTTCGGTGAGCTGTTCGGCCCAGAATTCGTCTTTGGCCGGCTCACGGACCTCAAGCTCGAGGGCATCGCGTGCGACGAGGAGGATCTGCGGTCGTTCCTGGCCCGCCACGGCCCCACCCTCCGGCGCCTCCGCCTCGGGGGTGACTGGGTCGCCAAGCTCTACGAGCCGGGGCTGGGTGGGATCCACCTAGGCCGCGGCACCTTCCGGTCCTTCTTCAGCTCGCTCAGCAGGGGCAGGCTGCTGCCGAACCTCGAGCGCCTGCACCTACAGGGCGACTTCGAGTCCGGCATGCTGGTCAGCCGGTTCCACGAAAAGTACAACTTCCACCCCGTCACCCGCGAGGACTGGGAGGAGATCCCCGACGAGATACGCCGCAGCCGCATCCCGCGAAACACCACCGACGGCCTCGAGTTTGAGCGCTTCGTCCTGCACGGCGGCGAGTACCCGGGCACGCCCACCTCCACACCGTCCGGCACCCCGTCGGAAAGTCCCGCGGGGACCCCGACGGGAACTCTGACCCCGCCAACCCCGGAGAGTGTTTGAAGAAGCTGTGCCATGGTTCCAGGCGTGGGCGAAGCCTTTCCGTCCCTGAGACACGGGTCGTCTTTGCTTGCAGTCCCCCTGTCTCGTCGTGTTGGCCACATGTCATGTCATGCTCACACCCGGACCTGAGACCACGGCCAATCTTGGATACCTGGAGGCGCTACCATGCCTCAACTGAACCAACCAAAAAAATAATGCGCGAATATACCAACAATCTGCTTTGCCAACTGCACAACCCATCCTTGGCGTCCCGTCGGGTCACGCCGACGCCTTGGTACGACTCTTTCTCCTTTTCTGGCGCAATTTTCCGGCCGCCACTCATGACAACAACCAAGAGGTGTACAAAGGCGCACGATTTTGATTTTTCTGCTTTCTTTTCTTTTCCTCCTTTCGTTTTGATCGTCTCCTATCACGGCTCTCCTCACGTTTCAACGAAGTCACGACCAAGCAAACACAAACAATAGATTGCATAGGAGCTGTCTCCTTCAGGCTCCAGGCTCCCGCTTTTTTCACTGTCATCACATATTATCCCCTCGTCTCTACGCTGTTTGTTTCCTCTTCTCTACCTGACTCTGTTTCTTTTCACTGGATTCATGTTACCGTATCCTAGAGGAAGCCTCGCAGATACTGCTCACGCGGGTACAGCAGGCACTGCAACTCATTCATGCTCATCAGATTGAACCAGGGCAATCTTACACGGGGGCGTTTTTCGTTTCCTGCTTGGCACATGAGAACTCAACGACGCAATCGGGGCTGACGTCCTCTGCTTTTATTTGTTTCTCTTCTTTCTTCTTTTCTCTACTCCATCTTTTTTTTATTTCTATTTTATCCGACATGTAGCGCAAACCAGCAATAGATAATAGATGGGTTCGGCAAAGCAGCATTGCACATGACGTTTGATGAATGCGTGGTGATCGGCGCCGGTGAAAACCTGCTTACATGGGCGATGAGGTGTGGGTAGCCTCAACAGCGGAGAAAAACGCACGTCACTGCGCATCTCCAGCGGTCGAAATTTCTCCATCTCGGCACGATATCAAGGAACGGGACCATGGAGGACAGCAATGCGAGGTGAATTGCATCAACGTCGATCCTTTGGTGAATATACAAATACCAGTGCAGAAGACGCTCGCTACCCAGCCAGCCCCTCTGGCGCGTCGATTCCATGACAGTATCCCCTGCACCCTCTTCGATACACTGCATCATTCATCACCAGAACCACGATTCAAATCACCCCAGGAGAAACAAGGCATAATGATCCAATCGGAGCAATCCACGATCCTCGCCGCCCTCGTCGCCTGCCTCGGATTCGCGCTTACCCTGGCCGGGGCCCTGTACGCCTACAACGAGGGCTACCTCGACCCTTGCATCCAAAAGATCGGGTGAGTCGTCCCGCGTCGCCAAGAGACGGGACGGGGGACACGAGAGGGCAGACGGCAAGACTGCCATGATTCGCAGACTCTGACTCGCCGCGCGTTTCCTCCGATATGAAAAAAAAAAAACAGCGTCTACCTGTTCAAGGCCAAAGCCATGGCCGAGAAGAAGAAGCTCCAGGCTCAGGGGCAGAAGGCGGGTCGGGACTTTGTCGACTGTTAGTATCGTCTGTATCCGGGCC